TGAAATGAAGCCTTGCTTTGGCCAATGGCTAAATTAAGAGGCTAGCCAGCAATAATTTTGTGAGTCTTGTGGTCCATTTGGAGTTGGGGAGCCATACTTTACAAACATAACTGTACTTCATGCGGTAGCATGTTTATTTGAATAATTTACTGTTGCAGTGAACTTTTGCTAACTTTTTTTTTTTTAAAGAGTACTTTTTATCACTATCTTAGATGTCCTGCAGTCTAGCAATTTTGCATGCCAAGGATGGATTAGACCAAGTAGTATAAAACTGTCTCTCTGGCTTTCGGTTAACAGTGTTGGCTGATAAATATCTACTACAACTTCAGTATAACTTCCAAAAATCTGAACATAATTAGCTCTACTTCTAAGAATCAAAACAGTGAACCAGGCACAATGGGATTTGCTTATTTACTTCTCTTGCATAGGAAAAACTGCATACATTGACATGCCCATCACCCACTACACAGCCACAAGGCAGCTCCTGAGGAGGGGAGGAGTCTGATCTGGCTATCACATGCTCAGAAAGGATCACCTGTCACATATCTAACACATGAGGAACCAACCCTTTCAGATCCTGTTGGACTGCCGTTCCCATGCAGACTGTGTTGGCTTAAGCTGATGGGAGTTAGCATCATCTAGCAACATCTTTTCTTTGCCTAGATTTTGCCCAGCCCTCCAACCCCAACCCTCCTGCAGGTAGTCTAGACCTCTGCCCACTTGCCTGTATTTTACCTAAATCCATTTCAGTCTGTTACCTTTCTCCTCCTTAGTCTCATGTTGGCCTTGCAGAACTCAGCGGGGAAGTGGGTGGGTACAAAACCTGAATTAGTTGGCTCTGTCTGCCATTGGCTCTGTCTCCACCTGCTGTTGGCCTCCTGTCCTGCCAATCACAATGGCACCACCCACCACTAATTAGCATCCAGAAAGGGCAGGGCCTTTTCTTCACCTGCGCAGGTCACTATTTATGACTTTAGGCTTCAAAAACCTTTGGTTTGCAAGTCCCCCCTCTTTTCTTCTTATTGGAGCAGCATGACAGCACACTGATCTTTCAGATACAGTGGTACCTCGGGTTACATATGCTTCAGGTTACATACGCTTCAGGTTACATACTCCGCTAACCCAGAAATATTACCTCGGGTTAAGAACCTTGCTTCAGGATGAGAACAGAAATCGTGTAGCAGCGGCGCGGCAGCAGCAGGAGGCCCCATTAGCTAAAGTGGTGCTTCAGGTTAAGAACAGTTTCAGGTTAAGAATGGACCTCCGTAACGAATTAAGTACTGAACCCGAGGTACCACTGTGTAGTGTTTTCTCCAACTAGATTACATGCATAGTAATCCCACTGAAATTAATGGGTCTAAATTGCTCATGAATTTTAACATGTCTGCTCTGAGTAGGGCTAGCATTGGATACACCTAGCATTTTCTGAAATTGATAAAATTCTTGTAAACCAAACCACTGCTTTTAAATGACAATTCCCTGCAGCACACTTTCCCATGTTCACTTTCCTAGAAATTTTATGCTTTCTGTTCAAACACAGTATATTTACAACGGCATCAAGCTCTCCCACTGACACTTCGAGAGCCAGCCATGTTTTACTGAGGATCGGCTGTAACCAAAAGCCTATGAAGAACTCTTTTTAATATTGTGGCTCCAAAATACATTGTTAATCGCAGCTCAGTGCAATAAATCATTTCTTGTGAAACCATCAGGCGTCAGGTGGAAAACCAAGCACTGTTCTGCTGCTTAATAAAATAATATTTTTTAAAAAATACTTCTAGGTTTTCTGTAAATACCTCCTTGTTTCCACACATTTTAATTACCTGCAGCGAGACCTAAAGCAGCCTTTTCTCAATCAGTCAATTCTTCTCACTGTGCAATGAATCTGTCTCACACAGCACCAAAAAAAAAAAGGAGTCTGGTTGTAATTCCTGTCTGCAGTGGCCAATATGAAACAGATGAGGGTATTGCATTTCTTTCCTTTGATTAATTTAGCTGTGCCAGTTAGTTTAATTCCCTGCCCCCCAGCACAATTTGCCCCAAAGTGCTCCACACTACTGAATAAATCTGTTGTTTGATTTAGAGTTTTCATTTAGTATGTCCTCCTAACAATTTAGACAATCCAAAACAACCCAGCTACATGATAGGAGTATGCTTTAACCTTATGTGTACTGAAATACACATAATCTAGGGCATGACCTCAATTTTAAGCATTGGCAAATATCTAAACTGGTCATAGATATCTCTGTACACTGACACGAAAGGTCTCTAAAACAGAGGTAGCTAACAGGTTTTGGCTGCCTTCATTCTTGGGCCAAAACTCTACTGAACACCTGCCATGGCTGGTTTGCCAAAAGTGGGTGAGACCATCCTTTACTCTCACAAGCAGCTCTCCTCCTGTGATTCATGGAGGGAGATTATTGATTTCTCCCTGGTGGCTGAGGAAGGAGCAGTTTCCATCCAGGCAGTTTACAGTCTCGGTAGTGGCGCCCACCCTGTGGAATGTCCTCCCATCAGATGTCAAGGAGATAAACAAGTACCTGACTTTTAGAAGACACCTGAAGGCAGCCCTGTTTAGGGAAGTTTTCAATGACGGATGTTTTGATGTATTTTTAATCTTTTGTTGGAAGCTGCCCAGAGTGGGTGGGATAGATAGATAAAGGTAAAGGGACCCCTGATCATTAGGTCCAATTGTGACCAATTCTGGGGTTGTGGCGCTCATCTCGCTTTATTGGCATGTGGCCAGCATGACTAAGCTGCTTCTGGCAAACCAGAGCAGCGCACAGAAATGCCGTTTACCTTCCCGCCGGAGCGGTACCTATTTATCTACTTGCACTTTGATATGCTTTCAAACTGCTAGGTTGTAAGGAGCAGGACCCGAGCAACGGGAGCTCACCCCGTCGCGGGGATTCGAACCGCCGACCTTCTGATCGGTAAGTCCTAGGCTCTGTGGTTTAACCCACAGTGCCACCTATAAATAAATAAATATCCCTGTCGGCATGCTGAGCCAGGCAGAGGTGTCTGCCATGCCTGCTGGGGGTGGGGGGCTTGGGCAGCGGCAAGAGTACCAAAATCAGTGAGTTTTTGGGGGGAGCCAGAAAAAAAGATTGGGGAATGGGGTTCAGATCAAGCATAAATATATAAGGAAAGCTCTCCTGAATAAACCCATAGGCCTGTCTAGTAAAGGACTCAGTTTTCCACAGTGACTAACCAGATACCTTTGGGAAACCCAGTTCACAAGGTAGACTAGAGGCAATCCTCTCGCGTTGTCTCCAGCAGTCATTATTCAGAAGCATACTGTCTCTCATTCTGGAGGTGGCAGAGAGCCATTAAGACTAGCAACCATCAATACTAAAGCAGAAAGCAAGGACATGCTAGCAGACAGGTAAGTGAAATACAAAGTACAGAGATTATGGCTATGCCAAAATCTGTCCTTCAGTTTTCTTGCCCTGCAAACAAATCTTCTGTTTTTCTCCCTCATTCACAGGTTACTTTAGAATTCCTTTAGCATTTTCCTGGATGCAGCTTGGAGTTTTCCTTATTACTGTGAGGTGGCAGGTTTTGTGTCTGTTTTAACTTCAACGTTTTCCCTGCACTCTGTAGTCCCTTGGCCTTTAATTGAAGTTCAGAAAGCAGTGAGGTTGGCTACCGAGTGTCTGAGATTGATGTACTTGCTAATTTGATTTAAGGGAAGTCCCTCCTTTTGATTTTCATTTGAAAACATTTCTTTATAAGTAAAAAAGACTTAAGAAAGTTATGGGGAAATGCACTGGAAAGTGTGGTATAACAACTGTTTGACACAACATTGCTTAAGAGGAATCTAATTTCCGGTAAGGTTAGTCATATTGGTCCCTTTTTTAATAGCCTGAGGACCCTAAAAAATGGAGAAAATGGAAAGCCCCCCTTCACAGGGGTAAGTAGCCTTGTTGTGCAGATCTTGCTGTTTACTTTCTTCTTAAAAAAAAAAAAAAAGGTTGAGGCTTACCTTCTGAGTAATTTAGAATTCTCATCACCATATAACTAATAATCAACAAGAGTTGCTGACAACTGGCCATTAATTTTAATTTTCCATTGTCACAAAAGGAAAAAAACAGTAGAATTTCAAACCCAATGGGATAATCAGGTTCAGAGGATTGAAAACAATTTGCAGGCCTTTTCCTGTCTTCACTATAAAGACCATTTGTTCTGCTTGGCTCTTGGAATATAGCTGGCAACATACCAAATATGTCTGCTTTACAGAAAAGGAGACTTTATTCACTAAGTTGAAGTAGTGTCCAAGACAGGTCTGCTAGAATTTTTGCACCTCTCACTCATTCATACACAGCCTGGGTATTTTACCTCACTGCTCCCAAAGTGGTTCTGTGGTAGAATTTAAAATAAAACGGCTTATCTTTGAATCTAGGTATAACTACACAGAGAGAACCAGCTGTGAGATGTTATTAAAAACAGGGTTTGTCCCAGAACTGATCTGTGTATACCACGAACCCTCAGCAACTGTTTGATGGAGGTGAGGGAAGGGAGTCTCTATTTGAGCAGTGTATCTCTTTCCATGCATTCTCTCCATCTTTTTACATCTTCCATGGGATGGGCATATCTCCCCATTGATGTTTCAGTGTCTCATTAGTCCAGCTTTCCACATTTCCACAGCAGCCTTGAGGTTTTTTGGGGGGGATTTCTTATATAGCCCTTGTGAAAATGCACCAACATTTCAATGCAATTTCTACCGAATATACATATTTTTGGAAAACAATTTCCCCCCAAATAATGCATTTTTGAACATTATTTTCACAAATGAATTCATTTTTATTCACACTTTACCTCATCTATTTATTTTTTTGTACACATTCCTTGCTTGGAGAGCTGCAAAAATTCAGAGAAGTGCATATTTCGAAGTATGGCAGTGTTCTGAAAAGAGCAAAGCAGGTAAGTTCACATTTAAAGGTGACTCTAAATGAATTCCACATTCTAATGTGACCAAAAGACAGAGTTTCAAGCACATGCCGCTCATCTATTATTGCTTTCTCTTCTCTCTCAACCATGAGGTGACAAGATGAGGGCTGAGACCTGAACTCCAGCCTTCCAAATCTCAGAGTGAAAGCATTGCCAGCATTATCCTTCTCCCCTTTCTGACTCTGCCCCTTCTGCATAGTATATTCCTTTCAGGAAAAACTTTTTAAAAACATCTGAGTTGCTTAAAGGCCAAGATACAACAGTGATGAAGACACGTCTCAAAAGGCTTCCATTTCTTTACATTTTATTTTTTTGAATACTTTATATTTAAGCATTTAGAAACATTTTTTCCATGTCTTGTCAGTTAATGTTAGGGGAAGTATTAGATATTTTAAGCTAGACAACTTAAAAGAACATGACTATTTCTTTATTATTCACACTATACACATATAAACTACCTGCGCTGAGGTGATGGGCATAATTCTCCAAGTGCTATTTCACCTGCAGTCCCGTTAAAAGAAAAAGGGGGATGGATTGTATGGGGGTCAGAGTTTGGTGAATTCTGTCCCCGTCAAACCGATTGCCCAGACTGTCCAATCAGAACTATGTGATTTGCCTTAAGGCATCCTGCCAAACTTATGCAATGGGTTACTTCTTTTAGCACTGTGGTCAGTGGCAGAGCAACATGCTGCAGCCCCTGGAGCGGAGAACAGGCAGGGGTGTGGCTGGCATGTGTCCCAGGGGCATGATGCATCACCAGCGGGGGCGTGGCGAGTGATGCAGGGGCAATGGGATTACATGCAAATCTGATCATACAGTCACTTGATGCAGCTGACTTCACAGACTGCTACGTGGCAGAATGCTACAAAACCATGGACGCCATCTTTACAATCCATTCTGAGGCATTATAGGAAGTCCAGCATGCTTTTGATGAGGCTATTGCTCCTTTGACCCATGTACCGCATGGTCCATCTCTCTGTGGCAGAGATGGGGAATCTGTAGCCTTCCAAATACTGTTTGACTACAATTACAATCAGCCCAAACCAACCATGTCAGTGGTCAAAAATGATGATGGGACTAAGAATCAAACAACATCTGGATGGTCACAGGTTTTCGGTGCATGTGTATGTGTGCTGAAGAGAAGAAGAGTAGAAGACGAGTTTGGATTTGATATCCCGCTTTATCACTACCCGAAGGAGTCTCAAAGCGGCTAACATTCTCCTTTTCCCTTCCTCCCCCACAACAAACACTCTGTGAGGTGAGTGAGGCTGAGAGACTTCAGAGAAGTGTGACTGGCCCAAGGTCACCCAGCAGCTGCATGTGGAGGAGCGGAGAACTGAACCCGGTTCACCAGATTATGAGTCTACCGCTCTTAACCACTACACCACACTGGCTCTACTGGCTGAATACCCAAATACCATCCCTATAGATGTCTGCATTGGAGCTGTATTGACACTTCAATAGGCTTCTTAAAAATAATAATTTTTTTTTAAGTGTTAAGAGTGCTGCATTGATTTTAAAGTAATTATTTTTATAGCAGGTGAAATCATATATAAAATTGTGGGGATTTTTCCTTCTTTTACCAGTGACCACCTGCTAAGAAATGCTGTTCAGGTACTGTATACATTTCTACATCAGCTACCATTGGCCAAACAAGCTGTGCATTTTATTTTTGCTCCAGATTTTAAGTACTCACATTGGAGGGGCTGGGTAAATAAATGAATATATTCACTGGTGTATTTACATTTACAGCCACAGGTAGGTGTCACAGGTAAGCACTACTGAAATCAGTGCACCCCAAGCAAGTTCAGAGGCACACACTGCAATGGCTCTTGAGCAGGTATTTGTGTTCCACAAGCCACTATGTCTTATTTACACATTGCTTGGAGTGTCAACTCAGTCATAACTGGTGGTGATTTGCCAGCATAGTTGCATCAATGGATTGCAGTTTTTATTTTCAACCCAGAAACTCACTGTGCACATATTACAGGCCAAATGGAGTTCTCCTGTGCTGCCAAAAAACATTGTCCAAAACTAAATTTACTGAATAAGCTTATGCTTTGTACATACCTAGTTTCCATAAATTCTTTAAACAGCCATACTGATTATATGTCTGAAAGCAAAATACAAGCATCTAATATGTGCTATGTCTCAAATCAGAAGAATTAATTGAAATTATTTTCCAGTTCTTCACCTCAGGTAACTTCTGCTCCCACTGTATCCCGACAGATGCTTACAGTACATTGGCAATTGTTGCTGGACTAATCAACCAAACCAAATATTTACAGAACTAGTAACGACAAAATTGTTTCTATAGATTCTGAGGGCTCCCTTGGTTATCTGTTATAAATGGGCTTAATCTGAGTTAAAGTCTCAGCTTCATAAAGACATGCAACTAATATTGGCCTTGCTGCTAACCCCAAGCAAATGAATGATTAGGAACTAGATAGACTTTACATGTTCCAATGTATTCTTATCACAAGAGTCAATGCATATCTTGTTGGATGTGCCTTGGATAATGTTCATGATCACATGCTGTTTTCTTAACATCGTACAGTTTAAGCTGATGAGAGTCTCATCATAAACATTAGGCAGAATAAGATTCAGAAGGACTTGAAGGTCTCCATATCTATAATAGGATCCAGTAGCTGAGACCAAATAGTAAGTGAGTTGACATAATGCCCAGGTTCATTATTATTTCTAAGTCACCAAAGCATATGAGCAAGGGTGTTTATGCCAACATTTGAGCTCATCCTCCAGTTTCAATGAAGGTAAATAGGAGTGGAGTTAAAAGAAAGTCAAGAAACTGTTGAGCACAAACTGGTTACTCATCACTCCCTGTTTCTTGGCTGTCGCAATAGAACTGCTCTACGTGGTAGATTTTTATAGGTATGAAACTGGGTAACAAAGTAATTGGGGCGAGAAAAAGAATATACGGGACAGACTAACAACCAGCACAAACCATTTATCCATCCCCATAAACCCCACTGAAAACTAAGTGTAAGGCAAACACATTTTGCTTTAAAAACAGCTATAGCTATAGCTAGAATTATTTGAATGCAAGTTGCAATATACATCTGTTCCAATCACCCTGCACAAGCCATGATTACACCAATATCTTGACAAACATGAAAACAGTTTACTATAGTAATCTTAACAGTACTTGACTTGTAAACACAAGTTAATAAGCAGATCCCTTGCATCTGAGAAGTCGGTCATTACAACAAAGAAGAGAAAGTTATTGTGAACGTCAGGGTTATATACGTTTTGCCACTTAGTTCCATTCTTTAAAGCCACTAATTTGGCTGGAGTTAGTGTGGTGGTTTCGATCTATAAATATAACACTTTCATAACAAGAAAGGTAGTGAGGCCCGACAGCAAAATTAAGAATTCTGCATGTTTCTAGAGACCCTTGATTAGATAGTGTAACATGAAGTCAATCAGTAATTGAACATTATGGCCATTGGTTTCCAGAACATTAGTTTATATCACTCTAGAAAGAACTAGAACATTCCATTCTGTAGATTTCAACCCGATGTGTTTGCTACCCTGTCATCATTTCCAACCTCATTTCCCAGGATAACATGATTGTAAATAGTCATAGTAGTCCAAAGCCACAGTGAAGTGACTTTCTTCACTCCCCCCCCCCCCATGTTTTTATCCCATTGATTCAAATTTGGATGGCATCAGAAAATGAAAACTTTGGTTTGAGAAACTTCATGCCGACTAAGGATGCTTGTTTTTGCTACAAGTTGTACATAGCAGGTTGGCTGCATCTAGGATGAATGGTTGGCCTGTCAGCAAGGTCTCGCACTCCAGGCAGGTAAAGTGTTGCTTGTGCCAGGTGAGGCCTTCGACTCGCTGGTAGTCCTCAGAAAATATTATCTGTGGAAGTAAACAACTCCATTTATCATGTCACTTTCTTCCTAGAGCCAGCCAAGTCCTATAACTGCTTCATTATGGAAGCAACACACAAACAAAGCAGTTGACAAGCCAAAACACATATAAAACAAAGCAGTGTTTGCATCATTACTATTTAGCAACACACCAAAAGAGGATATCTCTCAACATAAACTACGGAAGTAGTTTGGCCTAGCTAATTCAAAGCTGTAGGGCATGTTTATATTCCGCTTTCGGTTTTTATAGAACCTCTGCTTATTAAAATAAAACTGAAACAAAAAAAAGAGCACCTTAAAATGCTTCTGGTTTCCGTGATTTAAATATATTTCAAACAGCTCATGGTTAGCAAGGAGAGAGGTTAACTATCAGCCCAGTTTCAGATAACAAGGTAGGGCAAACGCAAATCCAAAAGTCCCTGGAGCAAAAACGATGAGGGAGGAATAGAGTGGCTGAGAGATCATCTCCAAGAGCTTGCATGTTGACATGGTCCTGGTAAGTCATAGTTTAGTTCACCATGTTAGGCAGATCAGACCACTGAGTTGAATTTAATGTGGTGCTTAGTAGTCCTTTGTGCAAGCAGAATGACCTGCTGTGCAATGGGACTTTCCCCCTCTCCTCTTCCCTCACCTGACCCCTACATCTATTCTAGGGTTTCCTCCAACCCTCTGGGGACAATGTGGGACAGGAAAGCTTAGCTGTGCAAGCAGAAGTCATTCTACTCACACTTTTTTCAAAGCTGCACACCACTCCCTATATTTCTGTACCTGGTACTAAGCAGGTTCCTCACTGATTAGTTATGGTTCCACCCCCATTCACCTGTTCCATTTTCTATCCCTCAAAACCACCAAAATCCCCACCCCCACCCAAAAAGCACTCATATACTAGAGGCAAGTATTCATTTTGCAGAGGCATTCGGCCAAACGCAATTCCCCGGAGCTGATAGTTTCTTATAGGCAGAGAAATTGAGAGCTATGCAGGAGAAGAGACTTCCATTTCCCCAGCCGTCATACCTCGTCACAGGCCGCACAGCGTGGCCTTACGCTCTCACAGTAATGACGCCCACACCAGATGGCCCCATTGTTCCAGAAGTAGATCAGGTCCACAAGCGGTTCAGAACACTTGCAGCACACAAAGCATGCAGGATGCCACTGACGATCATAGCCTCCTCTGCTGGCATATACCACAGGGGATTCTGAGGGCAGCACCTGCTTGCAGAGGTCGCAGAACTGAAGAAGAAAGTAAGGCCGTAATGAATATTCATCCACCCTTTTGCAAGGAATAATAAAGCACTGCTCAACTAATTCACAGCCAAAGGTACAATTTCATGCTTCGTGTCAGCCAGCTCCCATTCACCTTAAGCTCAGGGCCAGCTTTTAGGATCTCATGCCTTAGGCCCTCCAAGTGGAAGCATTTAAATCAGCCACAGTGTGCAAGTTTATTGCATGCTGTAGCTCAACACATCAATCGGCACCACTGCATGGAGACTCTTCATGGCTCTGCCGCCAGCATTGGCAAGAGAACGGGACAACGTTGGTCCATGGCTACAGAGGGAGGGCAAAGCGTGTTGACGTGCCCTAAGGGTATTTCAGCAAGTATTCCAATCGTAACTCAATTGCAAAACAAAAAAAACGAACTGAGCAAAATGTAGACTACAATGAACTCTTTCTCTCTTCTGGGGCTTGTTAAGGCATCATAGAAATACATTTTAAAATACAGTGGTGCCTCGCAAGACGAAATTAATCCGTTCCGCGAGAGTCTTCGTCTAGCGGTTTTTTCGTCTTGCGAAGCAACCCTATTAGCGGCTTAACGGATTAGCGCTATTAGCGGTTTAGCGGCTATTAAAGGCTTAAAGGCTTAGGGATTAGCTGCTAAAAGGCTATTAAAGGCTATTAAAGGCTTAGCAGATTAGATAAAGGGGGGGAAAAGCGAAAAAAAAATCTCTAGACTCGCAAGACATTTTCGTCTTGCGAAGCAAGCCCATAGGGAAATTCGTCCTGCGAAGCAACTCAAAAACGGAAAACCCTTTCGTCTAGCGGGTTTTCCGTCTTGCGAGGCATTCGTCTTGCGGGGCACCACTGTAATAAAATACTAATTGTTCTTTACTGCAAGAACAATCTTCAGAAATTAGATTCATATTTGTAATATTTATTTATTTTATTAATTCAATTGTGATCTCCCGTGATGGATTACAACGCAGATAGCAAGCTATATAGCAGACAGTCTGCTTTAAAAAATAGTAGGGATATGAATCAAAACAGTATTCTGTAGAATTGGAAAAGGTTCTGAAAAGGGGATAAACAGGATGGAGCCGCTCTGAGGGAAGTTTACAGCATTTGGGGCTTCTTAGCTTAGAGAAAACATGATACAAGTGTATAAAATCAGCCAGAGAAAGGGGATAGAGGAAAGCTTTTCTTTCTCTCATAGCACCAGAACTCAGGGATATCCAATGAATGTTAGAAGTTCCAGGACAAACAAAAGAAAGTATTTCTTCACCTATCGTAACTTATTTACCTATTAACTTCTACTTGTTAATAGCTGCAAGAATGTTACTGGATTGAAAATGGAAAGTTACATATACCCTCCCTGGAAACAGTGGCTAAATAAAGTTTGAGATTTGGCTAAAGCAGCGAAAATAACACCTCATTTACGAGTGCAAATGGCAAATTAATATAGAAACAAATTCTAGGAAAAAAGTTGCACTTTATACAACATGGCAAAGAAAATTGTTACTTCCTGCGAAAGTAAAATTCAAGTGGGTTTTTGTTTTTAAGTAACATTGTAATTTCATGTTAATATTATGCTCCCCACAGGTACTTGGCTGGCCACTGTGAGAAGAGGATTCTTGACTCGATAGCTCTTCTCGTGTTCTTATTTTAATAAAATGTTATTGGGATTTTTAATCCTGTTTCCTAGCAAATATTGCCAAGTAATTTTTTAGCAGCGTTTGTGAAGTCTTGTACGGCTGTTGTTCAACAGGGCATGTGTGATCATGGGAACCTCCTAAGATAACTGAGGCCTAAGACCACTGTATTTGTTTCAGCCTTTTATAGTCTTGGGCTATAATCTTAATTCCTGGCTAGCCATGGCAGCAAAAAAACATTTTTGGTTTTCTATTGGCTACTGAATGGGGGGGATGGGACGGACAGACACTGGTGGTGGCAGCTTTTGCCTGCTCACTCCAGACTCATTGGGGTACCCCTCACCAATGGAGCTTCCCTGCTGGTGGAACTGGACAGCTTCTACTCCACTGAAGCCCCCTCTAGCGCAGCAGATTCAGGGTCTGGTTTGCCCTGCTCATTATGAACTTTACCCCATCCTGTCATGCAAATAAATAAATAAATAAAATAATAATAATAATTTATTTATTTATCCCCGCCCATCTGGCTGGGTTTTCCCAGCCACTCAAAGAACAATACAATTAAACATTATATGGTTAAGAGTTGAGGGTGCTCTAGTTTGATCTTAGAAGGCATGCAGAAGAAAAAAATTGCCTCTTTTTGATATAAGGCTAGTTTGTTTGCTTTTAAGTCTCTGCTATTGCAACTGTAAGGAAAGGCTGCTGCTGGCCCCCTGAGTATCTATGGTGAGAACTTATTTTCAATATGTGGCTTATCACATTGCATGCCAATGAATATTTCCTTAGTTAATACTGACAGCTTTTTATTTCCATTTCCATTTCCACTGAAATAAAATAAAACAAAAACAGCTTCCCCGAAGAATCCCTCCCTTAAGCACACAAACCACTCTTTTCCTGTGAAGGGAAGCTTTGGCATCAGTGGAATATTTGTGTTCCAGCCCCAAGCTGAATCTCAAGAAAAGGACTCGGAAAGCCAAGACTTGTACATGGATTTCCCTAAACTCTTTGAAGACTGCCGGTTTTAGCCCCTTCCTTTATTACAAGCTTGCTATGCAAGTTGACCATGTCACTGAAGGCCTACGGAGAGATGTTTTGCACTGGCGGGGAGAGCTTGGCTGAATGTCGGAGGTTTAAAATGAGACTCCAAGAGGTAGTTACTGTGTGTTCAGTCTTAAGACACTTACACTGAGTTGTGAGAGGTTTGGACTGAGAAGAGCCCTCTACTTGCTTCTGGCAGCTTAGCCAGTTTCCTGCCAGTCAAGTAACACAGGCATCACTTCGCCATTGCAGAACTCCCTGTTTCTGCCCACTCAGTGTGCATGTGGAAGGCCTGCTTGCAGTATCCCTGCTAGTGGGGGTTGGGTGGAAAGCCCTGACACAGGGCATTCTGAAGAAGGGGATGAGCCGAGGAAGGGGCTGAGCATCCACTGCATGTTGCTGTCACAGCCAGGATCGGAAATGATCACAGTACCAGTATGGAGTTGGTGCAGAGATCAGGACACCATCAATCTCCTCCTTCTCCTGGTGCTGCTGCTGCTAGTGACTAAGGTAAAGGTAAAGGGACCCCTGACTGTTAGGTCCAGTCGTGACTGACTCTGGGGTTGCGGCGCTCATCTCGCTTTATTGGCTGAGGGAGCTGGAGTACAGCTTCCGGGTCATGTGGCCAGCATGACTAAGCCGCTTCTGGCGAAGCAGAGCAGCGCACAGAAACGGCGTTTATCTTCCCGCCAGAGTAGTACCTATTTATCTACTTGCACTTTGATGTGCTTTCGAACTGCTAGGTTGGCAGGAGCAGGGACCGAGCAATGGGAGCTCACCCCGTCGCGGGGATTCAAACCGCTGATCTTCTGATCGGCAAGTCCTAGGCTCTGTGGTTTAACCCACAGCGCCACCCGTGTCCCCTGCAAGTGACTAGGTTTGCCATATTTCAAAAAGTGAAATACGCCAACATGGGCTGCCACACACCTGGATTTTCCCGGATGTTTTGCCGATTTCTGTCGGACACCGCTTCCAACTGCAGAATTCCAGGTACATATGTATGACAACCTTACAAGGAACCGGACTGGGGATGTTGCTCTGTAGTTGCAGTGGCAGAAATTTTGGATTGCTTTGGCTCTAGGTTTAATTGTATAGACAGGGCCAGATTTAAGTTTGATGAGGCCCTAAGCTACTGAAGGTAATGGGGCCCTTTATATGTCCAGCTGTCCTTTGTCAACAACAAATTGCCACGGTTTTTTGTGTTGAATATATGCTATATGGTAATATATGGACCTAATAGGTATCTAAAGCCATTTGCACATAACAAAATATGTATTTTATCAAAGTAATTGTTGAACTGAAATACAATTAAGAAGAAGTATATTAATAGTGAAATAATTATTAAGCTCTAACTTAAAATGATTTTTTATTCAGAACAAACTTAATAATGCAAACACATTGGCACTTGGCAATAACAAAAGTTCCTTTAGAAACACAATTTACAAAGACTCATAATCTAGTCTCTAGAAACTTGTTTTAACATGAAATAATAATAGGTGTAAATATATGATTTTGTTTTTTATCATATTTTGGAAATGTACATCCAGTTTTTTCCCCTTTAAATTTTTTTGGGGCCCCCAAGAGAGTGGGGGCCTAAGCTATAGCTTGTTTAGCTTATACGTAAATCTGGCACTGTGTATAGATGTCCAACAGGAATTCCCCCATGAACTGTGGCAAGTCCCCCCCTCCCAAAATCAGTATAAACTGTGCTAATTCACCATTATCTCAGATTTTAATGCTTGAAGCATGAGCCACCAAAATTACGGAATAACAGCAAAAAGCTTCAGTGTCACCCACCCCCTCACATCCAAATGGTTTCAATGTTTGGCACTAATACTGGTGTTCTCTAATGTCTTGAAAGCTGAAGTCCTTGTGATGGATTGACTTCTAGATACTACAGATCTTTAAAAGAATGGTTAGTACAACCTTTAAAAGAAGTCTGTAATGAAATAATGGATGGGAAAAGGGCACCAGAGTCGTGGAAAGAAGCGTATATCATACTTGTACTGAAAAGATGCAGCTTAAGAACTACCGCCCCATATCACTGCTCAATGTGGATTACAAAATTTTTGCAGACATCTTGGCTAAAAGACTAAAAAGAGTGTTAGTGGAAGAGATACATAAAGACCAAGCAGGCTTTCTCCCGGGTAGACATCTATCTGAAAATGTGAGAAATATAATCAATATTTTAGAAAAATTACAAGTGAATATAAATACTAAGGCAGTTTTAATATTTGTGGATGCGGAGAAAGCTTTTGACAACATTTCTTGGAGCTTTATGAAGAAGAACTTACAGGGTATGGGGGTAGGCCAAGGCTTTGAAAATGGTATAAGTGCAATATACTCTGAACAAAAGGCTAAATTAATTGTAAATAATGTGGTGACGGAAGAATTTAAGATAGAAAAAGGGACACGACAAGGCTGCCCAATCTCCCCATTGCTTTTTATATCGGTCCTGGAGGTTTTGCTGAATATGATTAGAAGGGACCAGTTGGTTAAAGGTATACAAGTCGGAGCCAAACAGTACAAATTGAGAGCATTTGCAGATGACTTAGTATTGACGTTACAGGAGCCACAATCTAGTACCAAAAGGGTTTTAGAACTGATTCAAGAATTTGGTCAGGTTGCAGGATTCAAACTGAATAAGTTAAAAACCAAGGTTTTAGAGAAAAACTTAACACCAATTGAGAGAGAGAGGTTTCAGAATGAGACAGGTTTAACAGTGGTTAAGAAAGTTAAATACCTGGGGATTAACATGACAGCAAAAAAATGGGAATTTATTTAAAGACAACTATGAAAAATGCTGGGCTGAAGTGAAAAAAGATTTAGAAATTTGGTCAAATTTGAAGCTTTCACTGCTGGGTCGTATTGCTGTGATAAAAATGAATGTATTGCCTAGAATGTTATTTTTGTTTCAAACATTGCAAATTGTGGACAAAATGGACTGTTTCAAGAGGTGGCAGAGAGATATTTCTAGATTTGTCTGGCAGGGCAAGAAGCCTAGAATAAAATTTAAAATACTAACAGATGCAAAGGAAAGAGGTGGATTTGCCCTGCCAGACTTTAAACTTTACTATGAATCAGCAGCTTTTTGCTGGTTGAAAGAATGGCTGCTTCTTGAAAACACAGACATTTTGGATCTAGAAGGTTTTAACAATGTATTTGGATGGCATGCATATCTGTGGTATGATAAGGTCAAAGAACATAAAGCATTCAAAAACCATACTGTCAGGAAAGCATTGTTTAATGTTTGGATAAGATACAAGGACTTATTGGAAAACAAAACCCCAAGGTGGTTGTCACCGATGGAAGCAAAAGCACTGAAAAAGCTCAATATGGAGGTCAAATGGCCGAAATATTGGGAAATTTTGGAACAAGATGGAGATAGACTGAAACTGCAGAGTTTTGAGAAATTAAAAAACAAAGTGCGAGACTGGCTTCATTATTATCAGATAATGGAGGCATATAATTTGGACAAGAAAATTGGCTTCCAGGTGGAAAAATCAAAATTAGAAACAGAACTATTAGAACCTAAAACTAAGATTTTGTCAAAGATGTATAACTTACTGTTGAAATGGAATACTCAGGATGAAACGGTGAAATCTGCTATGATTAAATGGGCACAAGATGTTGGACATAACATAATGATGGCTGACTGGGAACAGTTATGGACCACAGGTATGAAGTTTACGGCATGCAATGCCTTAAGAGAGAATATTATGAAAATGATTTACAGGTGGTACATGACACTAGTCAAGCTTGCAAAAATCTATCATTTGCCCGATAACAAATGTTGGAAATGTAAAGAAACTGAAGGTACATTCTTTCACCACTGGTGGACGTGCCCAAGGATTAAGGCTTTCTGGGAGATGATATATAATGAATTGAAAAAGGTATTTAAATATACCTTCTTGAAGAAACCAGAGGCCTTTCTCCTGGGCATAGTCGGCCAACTGGTGTTAAAGAAGGATAGAACTTTCTTTATGTATGCCACAACAGCAGCAAGAATACTTATTGCAAAGTATTGGAAGACACAAGACCTACCCACTCTGGAAGAATGGCAGATGAAGGTGATGGACTACATGGAATTGGCGGAAATGACTGGCAGAATCCGAGACCAGGGAGAAGAGTCGGTGGAAGAAGATTGGAAGAAATTTAAAGACTATTTACAGAAATATTGCAAAATTAATGAATGTTAGAATGATGTTGGAATGAAGCTAGGTGGTTTAAGCAGTAATGCCATAAAGGTGTATGTGAAAAAGGATTGATAACAGATGAAAATTTAAAGTTATAGTATATTAAGTTAAAGGATTATGAGGAAACAAAGAGGGAAAGAAATTGCTGACTTAACTAATTGAACTGGAATACAAAAAAGGGAGGTATGAGGAGGTCAGGGAAACAAGGATATGAATCTAAGCTATGGAAAGATTCATCTATTTTTTTTTCTTTTTAAGTGTTTTTTATTCTTTTATTCTGTATTTTGTATTTTGTACTTTTTTTGTATTTTTACTTCTTGTTTTTGTGTAATTCTTTTTTCTGAAATTTCAATAAATATCATATATAAAAAAAAGAAAGCTGAAGTCCTTGTGGTTGAACAAATGTGGGTACGTTTTCAGCGAGTGTTTATTTGACTGCTGTTGGCTTCAAAGAATGCTCTGGAACAGAGGTGAATTCTGATTAGTAGTGGATGGAAAGCTTGTAGGTTTTCATGCTTCTGCGTCCTCTTTGCACAGTTCGTTTTCTTTCAACAGAGCCAGGGTAAAATGGGCAAAGGAGTGACTTCACCACCAGCGCACAGAATGTTCTGTAACCATTCAGGTGAATCTGACTAATTTACTAAGATAGTATTTACTCAACAGTGCAGTTAACTTGGAACTCAAGCAACATGATTTTTTAAAAAAATCCAAACTGTAGTATGTATCCTTAACGATTGCATTCTTAAAATCACAAAAATCCTTATACTTTGCAGATATGCAAAAATTAGATGCATAGCTATGTTGTCACGTTAAAGACTGATAGATATATTTGTGGACCAGAGCTCACTTTGTCAAATGCAGGATTTTGTATTTTTTACAAGCTGGCAGAGTTTGAATTAAGAAACCTGTCCTGTAGTTTTGCAAGGGATGCAAAAAGAGAGGCCTTCTTGGTCCTGACCAGGGCCGGATTTAGGTTTGATGAGGCCCTAAGCTACTGAAGGTAATGGGGCCCTTTATATGTTCAGCTGTCCTTTGTCAACAACAAATTGTTGCTGTTTTTTGTGTTGAATATATGCTATATGGTAATATATAGGCCTAATAGGTATCTAAAGCCATTTGCACATAACAAAATATGTATTTTATCAAAGTAATTGTTGAACTGAAATACAATTAAGGCGGTTCGAATCCCTGCGACGGGGTGAGCTCCTGTTGCTCGGTCCCTGCTCCTGCCAACCTAGCAGTTCGAAAGCACGTCAAAGTGCAAGAAAGGTAATCGGCGTTTCTGTGCGCTGCTCTGGTTCGCCAGAAGTGCTTAGTCATGCTGGCCACATGACCCAGAAGCCGTACGCCAGTTCCCTCGGCCAATAAAGCGAGATGAGCGCTGCAACCCCAGAGTCGGCCACAACTGGACCTAATGGTCAGGGGTCCCTTTACCTTTATATTTATAGTGAAATAATTATTAAGCTCTAACTTAAAATGATTTTTTTATTCATAACAAACTTAATAACGCAAACACAATGGCATTGGGCAATAACAAAGTTCCTTTAGAAACACAATTTACAATTTTTACTCATAATTTTTTGCGGGGGCAAGAGGGTGGGGCCCTAAGCTATAGCTTGTTTAGCTTATACTTAAATCCGGCCCTGGTCTTCACCTTCCTTAGAGTTGGGAGACAAGAGAATTGTCATAACCAGTTGTCACTGCTAAGTTTGAATTAGGCAGAGGGCTGAAAGTGTTTGGGCTAGGGATGGCTAAAACTGATTTAGTCTTAGGGTACTGCTTCTTCCTTTGAGAACCCAATGCAGAATTAGAAATTTTGCACCTAATTATTTACAAATATGCCACCAAATGTTATACTGTATAGGATGCTAGAAGACTCCATCCAAACTTGTATCACCATCCCTGGGTTTCCCCTCATCTCTCAGAGAAGTAGGGAACATGCAAGTGTGTATAGCAAAAAAGTTTTTTAACAGGAGGGTCAAAACCTCTGTACGTGCAAAGGGACCACACTCAATGTGTCATAGAAAAGGGTTGTTATTGTACTGAAGGAAACTAGTTTGTGAACAATGTTTTGTGGCTTTGCAGATTCTCACTTATTGCTTCATAATGGCAGCCTGGCACAGCAAAGTGCTGGCACATCACACACAATTCAATTTTCCCGGAGAATTATAGAGTAGACGTGTAATTGCTAATTTATTTATTTTTTAAAAAATCAAGATGATCAGATAAAAATTATAGGGATTTCAGCAGTGTGATGGTACACTTACTGCCAAGTATTGAGATGTATTCTAAACAATTTGAACAGGGAAGAAGTTTTAAAAAGTAGATCTTTTTTTGAGAGAACACCAGGAACCTGCAGTTGTAAACCAAAGTGAGAAGCAGTCACTTTGCATTGTACTTTGTTTTAAATTCTACAAGATTTTATCAACATCCTAACACTTGTTGATTGAATAGCCTGAGGACAATCTATCTAGCCACCCACCCACAGCCCTTAACACGGGTTCCATTTTGCCAATCCAAACAAAAGCTTAAATGTTCCATTTTTTTGGAATGTCAGAACCTTCCATGGAATTTTGCAGAGCAGCCCCATAGTTTAGCAGTCTCACGACATCTGCACAAACGGAGCTTTTGTAATTGCTTCTCAAAGAATTTAGCTTTTCCACTGGTGCCCAAAGGAAAAAAATAAAGCATTAAATTCTTCTGGAGAATAAACACCACAGGTATGTATTTACTTGGAGGGATGAATTTGCAGTCAAAATAAACCTCCCTTGCCAAGATGGTTTTTACAAATGCCTTTAAGCGGAAGTCTTAGCCTTAAGATAGGAAGGGTGGTGTGTATTTCCCCCCCTAGAATGGGTAACAAAAATCTTTCCCAGACTGACTCACTGCAACGTGGTCTAGCAATGAACTTGCAAAGGGTTTTCACTGTTTGTAATATTCCCCCTTTTGATAGCTTCCCCTCTACAATCCCCCACCTACCCTTGCTCTAGCAAAAATTTGAGCAGGGACTATCAGATATGGGGACCTTTCAGAGCCAATACAGTGGTACCTCGGGTTAAATACTTAATTTGTTCCGGAGGTCAGTTCTTAACCTGAAACTGTTCTTAACCTGAAGCACCACTTTAGCTAATGGGGCCTCCTGCTGCCGCTGGAGCACAATTTCTGTTCTTATCCTGAAGCAAAGTTCTTAACCTGAAGCACTATTTCTGGGTTAGCGGAGTCTGTAACCTGAAGCATATGTAACCTGAAGCGTATGTAACCCGAGGTACCACTGTATGTACATTTCACTGCTGCTACAGAGCATTGGGCAAGAAAGAAAGAAAAAAAGGAGCTCATACCTGCAAATCCCACTCCCCAAGCCCACCTTTTGGCAGTCCTCAAACCACTTCTGCCCAACCCATTCCTCAATCTGTCTCTCCCCCCCACCTCTCTCCACTTATTCAACTTACCAGCTCTCCCAATTCACACATCCATGGCATTGCCACCAGTTTGGAAGAATGGATAATCAAGATGACAGAGCAGGCATAGGCAAACTCGGCCTTCCAGCTGTTTTGGGACTACAACTCCCACCATCCCTGACCACTGGTCTGTTAGCTAGGGATGATGGGAGTTGTAGTCCCAAAACACCTGGAGGGCCGAGTTTGCCTCTGCCTGTGATAGAATATGCCAAAATGGCAAAGCTTACCATGAGGATCAGGCAACAAGATGAGAAGAAATTCTTACAAGATTGGGTAAAATTTATAGAATATGTTAAAGAACACTGCAAATATGTTAAAACATTAGCAGGGTTGTTGTAACATTTACGATGTGTTAAATATGGACAACGTATTTATAATTAAGATTTGAAAATTACAAAGGAAAAATAATTATATGCAAGATGATGAATGATTGAATTAGGAAGGGGGGAGGAAGTCAAACACAATGAATTTGGTGTATAATTGAATGCAAAAGTGTCATCATTTTAAAAAATCCTTGGAAAATAAAAATATTTTTGAAAAGACATTGCCACCAGTTTGTTACAAAGGTTTTTCAGAAAAAGCTCCAAAATTAGTAAGTTTGTGAGCATGACGGCCTCGTGAACTCAAGGACTAAGATTTCCAAGATTACTGGGGAGTCTATACCGAAAAATACACTTAAGTTGTTTTAAGCACTTCTGGCAGACAGATTGTTTTCTTTCATTAAACCACATTTGGCCAAACACAGAAATATGCTCCATTCCTTCCTATGCAACTCCATGCACTATGTATCCCGATTATATGCCTCCAGGGAAGCCTTTGCATACTTACCAATTCCTGCCCTTTAGGCACATCACCCAGGGTTCCATTGGTAGAAACAACTTCTTTACTTGCAGGAATGCCTTTATCAGGTTGTTTCCCATCATCTTTGGCAGTTCCTCCATGACCTGGCAGTGCAACTTCCCCGACGCCAAGAACGCCATCTTTGTATTTCTTCACGAAGTCCTCCATCAACTTTATTTCACTCTCTGAAAGGCCCCGGCAGTGGGAAGGATCCTGGTCATAAATAGGAAGCTGTCTCATCAACCTCCTGCGACGATAATAAGCACCTTCTGTACCAGCCACTGGCTGCATTTCTTTCGAAATCAGTTCCATGTACTGGGTAGCCTGATTTACGTGGAAGAAAAAGAGAGAGACAAGATAATAATGATACCTTTATTGTCAATGTACAACCTGTGTACAATGAAATTAACTGAGCCTTCCCCCCCAACAAACACTCAATCTCATTGCACTTTGTGCGCTTGTCGCACAACACACCAAACCCCAAAGTCAGTTGCACTATATTATTTTCCATTCAGCAGCCTAACAGCCCACAGATAGAAACTGTTTTTTAGCCTGTTGGAAGGAAGGAAAGTCCAATGCTGTAAAGAAAAATATTGCATAGGAACCTGGAATGTAAGAACCATGAACCTGGGTAAGTTGGATGTGGTCAAAAATGAGATGGCAAGAATAAATATTGACATCCTGGGCATCAGTGAACTAAAATGGACAGGAATGGGCGAATTCAGTTCGGATGACCATCATATCTACTACTGTGGGCAAGAATCCCGTAAAAGAAATGAAGTGGCCCTCATAGTCAACAAAAGAGTGGCAAAAGCTGTACTGGGATGCAATCTCAAAAATGATAGAATGATCTCGATACGAATCCAAGGCAGACCTTTTAACATCACAGTAATCCAAGTTTATGCACCAACCACTGGTGCTGAAGAAACTGAAATTGACCAATTCTATGAAGACTTACAACACCTTATAGAAATGACACCAAAGAAGGATGTTCTTCTCATTATAGGGGATTGGAATGCTAAAGTAGGGAGTCAAGAGATAAAAGGAACAACTGGCAAGTTTGGCCTTGGAGTTCAAAACGAAGCAGGGCAAAGGCTAATAGAGTTCTGCCAAGAGAACAAGCTGGTCATCACAAACACTCTTTTCCAACAACACAAGAGACGACTCTACACATGGACATCACCAGATGGGCAGCATCGAAATCAGATTGATTATATTCTCTGCAGCCAAAGATGGAGAAGCTCTATACAGTCAGCAAAAACAAGACTTGGAGCTGACTGTGGCTCAGATCATCAGCTTCTTATAGCAAAATTCAAGCTTAAACTGAAGAAAGTTGGAAAAACCACTGGGCCGGTAAGATACAATCTAAGTCAAATCCCTTATGAATACACAGTGGAAGTGAGGAACAGGTTTAAGGATTTAGATTTGGTGGACAGAGTGCCTGAAGAACTATGGATGGAGGCTCGTAACATTATACAGGAGGCAGCAACTAAAACCATCCCAATGAAAAGGAAATGCAAGAAAGCAAAGTGGCTGTCCAACAAGGCCTTACAAATAGCAGGGGAGAGAAGGCAAGCAAAATGCGAGGGAGATAGTGAAAGATACAGGAAATTGAATGCAGATTTCCAAAAAATAGCAAGGAGAGACAAGAAGGCCTTCTTAAACGAGCAATGCAAAAAAATAGAGGAAAACAATAGAATGGGAAAAACCAGAGATCTGTTCAAGAAAATTGGAGATATGAAAGGAACATTTCGTACAAAGATTACCATAATAAAAGACAAAAGTGGAAAGGACCTAACAGAAGCAGAAGACATCCAGAAGAAGTGGCAAGAATACACAGAGGAACTATACCAGAAAGAAATGGATGTCTCGTATACCCCAGGTAGTGTGGTTACTGACCTTGAGCCAGACATCCTGGAGAGTGAAGTCAAATGGGCCTTAGAAAACACTGCTAATAACAAGGCCAGTGGAAGTGATGATATTCCAGCTGAACTATTTAAAATTTTAAAAGATGATGCTGTTAAGGTGCTACACTCAATATGCCAGCAAATTTGGAAAACTCAGCAGTGTCCAGAGGATTGGAGAAGATCAGTCTACATCCCAATCCCAAAGAAGGGCAGTGCTAAAGAATGCTCCAACTACCGCACAATTGCACTCATTTCACACGCTAGCAAGGTTATGCTTAAAATTCTACAAGGAAGGCTCAAGCAGTATGTGGACCGAGAACTCCCAGAAGTGCAAGCTGGATTTCGAAGGGGCAGAGGAACCAGAGACCAAATTGCAAACATGCGCTGGATTATGGAGAAAGCTAGAGAGTTCCAGAAAGACATCTACTTCTGCTTCATTGACTATGCCAAAGGCTTTGACTGTGTCGACCACAGCAAACTATGGCAAGTTCTTAAAGAAATGGGAGTGCCTGATTACCTCATCTGGCTCCTGAGAAATCTCTATGTGGGACAAGAAGCTACAGTTAGAACTGGATATGGGACAACTGATTGGTTCAAAATTGGGAAAGGAGTACAGCAAGGCTGTATATTGTCTCCCTGCTTATTTAATTTATATGCAGAATTCATCATGCGAAAGGCTGGGCTGGATGAATGCCAAGCCGGAATTACGATCGCCGGAAGAAATATCATCAACCTCAGATATGCAGATGACACAACCTTGATGGCAGAAAGTGAAGAGGAATTAAAGAACCTTTTAATGAGGGTGAAAGAGGAGGGTGCAAAATATGGTCTGAAGCTCAACATCAAAAAAACGAAGATCATGGCCACTGGGCCCATCACCTCCTGGCAAATAGAAGGGGAAGAAATGGAGGCAGTGAGAGATTTTACTTTCTTGGGCTCCATGATCACTGCAGATGGTGACAGCAGTCATGAAATTAAAAGACGTCTGCTTCTTGGGAGAAAGGCGATGGCAAACCTAGACAGCATCTTAAAAGGCAGAGACATCACCTTGCCAACAAAGGTCCGTATAGTTAAAGCCATGGTTTTCCCAGTAGTGATGTATGGAAGTGAGAGCTGGACCATAAAGAAGGCTGATCGCCAAAGAATTGATGCTTTTGAATTATGGTGCTGGAGGAGACTCTTGAGAGTCCCATGGACTGCAAGAAGATCAAACACACCCATTCTTAAGGAAATCAGCCCTGAGTGCTCACTGGAAGGACAGATCGTGAAGCTAAGGCTCGAATACTTTGGCCACCTCATGAGAAGAGAAGACTCCCTGGAAAAGACCCTGATGTTGGGAAAGATGGAGGGCACAAGGAGAAGGGGACGACAGAAGACGAGATGGTTGGATGGTGTTCTCGAAGCCACAAACATGAGTCTGACCAAACTGCGGGAGGCAGTGGAAGACAGGCGTGCCTGGCGTGCTCTGGTCCATGGGGTCACGAAGAGTCGGACACGACTAAACGACTAAACAACAACAACGACTGATTATACTTCTATATCTCCTGCCCGAGGGTAGAATATTAAAGAGGTGCTGGCCGGGGTATGAATCGTCCCTGAGAATTTTTCTCGCTCTCTTAAGGCAACGATCCCTTGCAATGTCACCTAGCGGGCTCAGGGGACAGCCCATGATATCATGTGCTGTGTTCACCACCCTCTGTAAAGACCTTCTGTCTGTGGCTGTCAAGCCAATGTACCACACTGTGATACAATAAGAGAGGACACTTTCTATTGTGGACCAGTAGAAGGAGGTCATCAATTGTTGTTTAACATTGTTCTTTCACAAGGCCCTGAGAAAATGGAGTCTCTGTTGGGCCTTCCTAACCACCTGAGTTATATTGTTTTTCCAAGTGAGGTCTTCACTAAGGTAAACTCCCAGAAATTTAAAGGAAGAGACTCTCTCCACACAACGTCCCGATTATACAATGGGGCTAGTTCCCCTCTCTTCCTCTGAAAGTCCAACACCATCTGCTTTGTCTTGCTAATATTTAGGTGCAAATTATTCTCTAAGCACCATGTAGATACTTTTTGAACCTCCCCCCTGTCTGCTGATTCATCTCCACCTGTGAATACATCAAGTGGCATATAGACGCCAGAAGGAACAAAAATGCCAAAGGCTGTCCATCTCTGTGACTTTGTCCACCATTTTCCTAGGGAAGCCACTCTCCATGCAATACAGCAGATGACTCAGATATTTGGGGTTTCTCCCTTGTATTCAGTAGCAAAGGTGGGGTTGGGAGGCTGCAGAGTCACTGCTGCTTACTGGGAGAGTACGAGGGGCAAGGGCGTGGGGAGGGCAGTGATGGGCAAATGTGCTGGCAGGAGCACCACATTGGCTCCCCCACCTTACCACTCCCAAAGCTGAGAGGTCAGGCAAACAATGCCACCAACACCACCTGTGTCATCTGCTACGACTTGCATCCCAAATGGCAGCACTGACAACCAGTAAGGACTTTCCCAGTGGTTCCACACCACAGCCACCTTATGTGAGTCTTGTGCAGCCAAACTGTATGTCAGGTTTAGTCAAGTCAAGAGCATCCTTTCATGATGCAATACCCATGCACAGAGCATGCAGCAGAGATACTGTATCACAGGGGAGGGAAATGTGCAGCCTCCCAGGTGTTGTTGACTCACAAGTCCTGCTTTTCCTGAGCCTTTGGCAATGCTGGCTGGGGCTGATGGGAGTCAAAGCCCAACAACATTCAGAAGGCCACAGGTTCTCCATCCTTGCTGTATCATGTCAAAGGCTTTTCACATTTTCAAATATTTTTTGAAGCATTTCCCCAAGTATTTATATACTGTTCTTCAGCAAAATTGCTGGTTTTATACAATTAAATTGCCAAAAACAAAACACACAAGACAACTGGAGGATAAAAAAACAGGTTCACAAAATTTTGAACACTTGCAAAATATACAACTATGCTGTACATGTCAAAATTCCAGCAGTTTTACTCTGACAAAGGTCTGAAGCTTCTAGACTAACTTCAAAAGGCAGCTCCATGTATAACATATTACAGTGGTCCAACTGAGAGGTCACTGGGGCACAGTTATGCCTTATCAGGATTTCTAGTCACATGGGGTGACAATGAAGCAAACATGAATATAATCAGCCTGCAGACATGGGGAAGGTCAGGAACTGAGTGGGCAGAGACATTGGGGTGTGACTCATACGAACATTTGTATTCAGCTGAATGCCTGAACACAAGTCTTGTCTACATCCTTGGACCACAGAAACTGTAACCCACCCCATAAAATCAAACCAGATGATACTGTTAACATTCTCAGACACTGCTGCAAATGAGGCATCAAGGTCTAAGCAAATATATGAGCAACTTTATCTTTTAAGGTGTCTCGTAAAGTCATCACAACAGGCCCCCTGAGGATTTTGGGATAATACTTGTAAGGAGGATTGGGCCTAGTCTTGAACCACTCAGAATAGATATGCAATATCTATCTATCTATCTATCATCAGTCAGGGTTTCCTTTTCACTGCTTTTGGCCTGGTGACAACATACCTTGCTCCTGCCAGATAGGGTAGGACACAGATGCCCCATCTCTGCCCCACTCCAGCCTAAGTTTGAATGACATCCCAGAAACACAACAGATTAAGAAAGAGCCCCAGCACACATCAGGTGTCACAAAAACCAAAGGCACAAGTCCAAAACTTCAATCTCCCTTAACCTTTTTGGCATCCCTAGTGTCTAGCAAATATTAAGTATGTGCCTGGAGACATGCTTCCTATTTATGAAAGATTACATTCAAGTGGTTGCCAAAATTTAGCTGGCTAAAAGCCATGGAAAGGCAAGCTTGTTAACAGTTAACCACCAGCTGCAATGCCTTATAAACCCACATGTAGCACACAAACAGCACTTGGGCGAGATGTTAATGATTCTAATTTAGTGCTGGGGGGGGGGGGGACAAAAAGAAAATTTTTGCAGGGTTGTATACAGTCTGGAAGGTCTTCCATTTTCCCTTCTGTAAAGCCATTAGTTAACCTAAGTAAGCTAATTTATAAATCAGTACTTTGCTGACTTTACACCTTCGAACACTGCCCCCCCCTGCAATCTCTACTGCTTTTTTGAGTGCCAAACAGGAGAGCTGGTGGCAAGGGGTGGCCACCAAGTTCAGTGGCCAGTAGCCAACTCATTTTATTACTCAAGCACACAGTCCAATGCTATTGGGTGGGGGGTGAGAAAAGTCTGCACTTTATTTGGAGACCCGTGTTTCGAATCTAACATAAAGCAATGTGTAAGTACCGGTAATCAAGTTAGCCACTGGCTTTTAATTCATAGCTGGAGACGAAAGGCTGGTCTCATTCAAGATTAACATTTGCAAAAAGGATGCAGAGAACTTTCAGTGCAGTTAATCTCTTTATGGAACAGAGTTTAGGAAAGAGAGAGAGATTCTCTGACAGGGACCTTTTCCCTCTTATAGCGTGACTTGTTCATAGGCAGCCAAGTTGGCCATTCACTGTTTTTTTTTTAGAGACCAGCTTTCAGGAGAGTTCAATTAATTTCCACCTTGGTCAGCACTTGCCTAATGAACAGCACAACTGTTAGGGTGTATATTAAACACCTCAGCAGGCTAAAGTATTGCTTGTTTGAAACATGCAACATAACCCACTAGTGCTTTGCAATAGAAGATCTGTTCCCCAAATGTTTAAACAATATGCCCAGTGCAGTTACACAAGCAAAATCTGCCTCTTGTGACTGATTAAGTACAATGTTCGTATAGCACAGCTATCAACTGGCACACAAAAGAAAGGCAGGCCCATTTCATTGCATAAAACCAGGCCTGTGGAAATAAATTCACAGGGAGCTTTAAAGTGTAGGTGTGTGCCTGAAATGCAGCACAAATGCATGTCTGGATGAGCCTTAAAATGTTAACCGTTATCTATGTCAGTTTTTTATTTTAAAAAGAAAGCTGCTTCATCCCAAGTCAGACGGTCAACTAGCTCAACATTGTCCATGCCAGTCTTCCCCATCCGACTGGTGCCCTTCTAGTTGTTTGGGATTACAATTCCACCATTGGCTACGCTGGCTGAGGTTGATGAAAGTAAACCCTAAAGCAACTAGAGGGCACAGTGAACAAGGTGAACACCACACAAGCAGTCCTTCCTTCCTTCCTTCCTTCCCAGAAAGGAAATGCTGTAACCAGTGATCGATTAGGTGCGACAGCAGTCATTCCAATCCACATTTGGGCAACTCGTGGCCTTTACCCCTGTTTGGACAAACTGTCCATACAAACATGGATGCAAATGCTTCCAAAGTGGGAATGGCTACCCAGCATGCCTCACTGAGGGTTATCATGGGCGTCTTCTTCCTCTCAGACAGAATGCCGCCATACATCTGCTAAACCAGCAGCACAACACAATCTTCTCATAACTGAGAAGCAAATGCAGAAGCATATGCCGAAACAACTTGCTTTTACCGTATTGGGCTGGTGGGGAGAAGCTCATGAAAAGAAAATTATTTTCACTATTTTAGGAGATAGTTCCTTCAGTTATTTTATGAACCAATTTCCTTTTTACCCTCAGCATGGCCAGGGATAATGGGTGCTGTAGACCACAAAAAGGGCGGGGGGCAGAGGAAATTGAAGGTGGAGTCTGCAGCCTGTTTCACAGAGGTTATTTCCCTTTCCCAGCCCTGCAGGACCAGGAGGGCACCAAATTGGCCACCCAGAGTTTAATCCATCACCTTACATTGAGGAAATGTCCTTATTTTTGGTGTACTCTGCCTCTTAAGCTGTTGAATCGTATCACTTTTGCTTCCAAATCCCTCTTGGCATGTAGAACAGAGTTCTGGGAAACAGCTTAGAAATCAACCTAAGTCAGTTTGAAGGTGAAGAAAAAAGTATTTTTATTTAAAGTGTAGATATCACGGCACGCAGCTAAATCAAATCTTGCTGGCTAAACCTGTTCCAGATATCTTGAATGTATTTTCATGTGTTCTCACAATTGTATCAAGTCGGCCAAGTCCAAATACTGGGCATGGAAAGGAATGCTGGACCTGATTTTGGAACTTGTTAGGCTCCAGTCAGATGCTGCAGAAGATGATGCTATCAAAGCCACCGATGGTTCAATTGTAGTATTTGTGTTTCCAAGTTGCAAACAATATGGTCCCATCTGCACAATAGCTTTAAAACAGTATTATACCACTTTAAAGAGTCATTCTTTAAAGGAAAGTATAATTTGTTGAGGGTGCTGAGAGTTGGTGGGGAGACCCTATTACCCCTACAGAGCTAGCATTCTCAGAGTGATTTGACAATCATTCGTTTTCCCCAGGGAACTGTAGTTCTTTAAGGGGAATGGTGAGGGAAGTGAAAACTTTACAGGGTTATTTGGGGGAATCCATGACTGCTTCAAGTGGTGCTATAGTGCTTTAAGTGCAGCTGGGGGCTAGATCTGGCACATTCCTTATGAATGTACTTTGGGTTACATGACATCTTTCAGAAGTGCTGGATATGAAAGGTTTCATCGCTATGCATGAGGGATAGAGTAGAGCACTTGAATGAATAAATGAGACCGATTCTCTCTCTGTGTCAAAAGTTATTCCCTCCTATGGAAACTAAAAACATCTAAACAGTCAACAAGAACCCAAAACTTTAAGGATCACAGGAAAACGCAACCAAAACACAGATAAAACTCTAAACAAAACATGTAAACTGTAAGCATTAAATAAATGTACTCGAGTTAAAAGGCACTACTTGTTTTCACAATGAGAGGATATCAAATTCCTGAGCTTCACGTGCCTATATATAGAAGGAGAATAACAAAGGTATTTATTGTGGTCACAGAAACTTTATTGAGGGCTTAAATAACTTCGTCAACTCAAGTACAGTGGTGCCTCGCAAGACGAAATTAACTCGTTCCGCGAGTTTTGTCGTCTTGCGATTTTTTTCGTCTTGCGAAGCACGGTGTCGGAAAAGTTTTGGAAAAGCTTCAAAAATCACCAAAGTCTTCAAAAACCTCAAAAAAGGCTACCACACCGCATTCTATGAGTTGCTCCTCGAAGTCAAGTAACAACTGTAATAACGGTTTTACGAAAAAGGAAACAAACTTGCAAGACATTTCCGTCTTGCGAAGCAAGCCCATAGGGAAAATCGTCTTGCGAAGCAGCTCAAAAAACAAAAAACCCTTTCGTTTTGCAAGTTTTCCGTCTTGTGAGGTACCACTGTAAGTAATTAAAACTTGTTCCTAGTGACACGAAGAAAACTTCAGTGCTGTATTCAACTAAATTGCTGTGCTAGTGGAGGCCTTTGGAAGAATTCCTACTTTAATGGGACTTTCCGTCTCCTCCTCTTCCTGTACATGCCCTGGGCCAGCTCCAAATCTGCTCTGGAGGGCTGGGGGAACCCACATTACACATTTAGGGGGTGCATGGGGGGAGGAGAGGGGGAGAAGGTTCCACTGCACAAGAAAAATCCTTGCAGCTAACAGAACTTCTGCCTTAGTGCTGTTGAATACAGCCCTAAGAGTGGCAGCCAACTGAGTTTTACTTAGAGTAAAATTAACGTACCTGTCAGCTATGTCCGTTAACTTTAGTGGGTCTACTCTGAGGAGAACTAGCATTAGTTCCAATTCTATGTCTTGGCCACTGCCCCCACTTGAGGAAGGACTGGAGATCGGGTTCGAAATGACCATGTGCAAACATGCCTAATGACCACCTGAAGCAAATCTATGAAATTTTAAGGGAAGAGAAGTAGTGAAGTAGTGACTCTGTGCCTTTGATCCATCAAAATGTTGAAGAATGCAAGACTTGCTCTTGTTCATTTTTAGAAACATATATAAATTCATACCCATATCTGAGGATGCATGCCAGTGTTGTAGCAATCCATATTACAAACCTTCAAAGTAGAATTCTTATCCCAAACTCTCTCAGTCCATCCAACTGTGCTACAGAGAAACGTAAACTGTTTGTGCATTTGGAAACCGAGGGTTGTGTCAAAATTGAAGGTGTTTTAGAACATAAGAGCAGCCCTGCTAGACCAGGCCAAAGGCTCATCTAGCCAAGCACTCCGTTCTCACAGTTGCCAACCAGGTGCCCATAGGAAGCCTACAGGCAGAACCTGAACAACAGGTTCACATTTGCAGTATTTGGGAAAATAATCTTTTACTTTCCACCTCACAGAACTAGCCACCAATTACCCCAAATAAGATTCTCATAATATGCAATGAGTAAGCAGCTATTGACTACTGCCAGGTGGGGGACATTTGTGATTTATTATTCTAGATTCTTGGGCTACCTACCTCAGCTGTCATTATCCACTGAACCATCTTACACATTACACAGTCAGTCCCAGAGCACCGTATTAGTTACCAAGAGGACTGGGCCAATCCCAGACCACTTTGTCCGTGTGTCTTGCCCTCTTTTCAAGAGCAACAGATATATTTTGGGACTGAGGCATGCTGCAGGAGATTGACAGGTTTCCCAAGAATTCCAGTTTCATTCCTTTCATGTGACAAAGAACTTTTACAAACAGGGAGGTTTGAGGTGAACTGTAACTTTAGAAGGTCACCCAAGGCAACTCTAGGATACTTGCTTACATAAGGCTCTTCTTATTGCCCTCTGTCTGTTCTTGAGCATCTCCATCTCTTCATGCTAGTCAAGGATAGACAACATACTGGGCCATGGTGAAAACGTCTGGCCTTGGAAGTCCAGGCCATTTATATGAATGGTTTAGCGGAGAAAGCAACTAATGTCTTATAAGCTTCTAGGTGTAAAGATTGATAAACGACTACTCTGTTATGTATGCAGTGGTTAGAGTGTCAGACCAGAACCTAGGAGTCCAGGGTTCAAATTCCCACTTCGCCATGAAGCTCACTGGCTGAGCTTGGGCCTCTCAACCAAGCCTATAGGACAGGATTTTTGTGGGGATTAAATGAGGAGGGGGAAGAACAATCTACACCACACTGAGCTCCTTGGAGGAAACGGTGAGATATAAATGCAATAAATAAATAAATGTTATGTATCTTACTATATAATAAAACTGTAAAGCTGTCATCAAGCTGCGGTTCATGTGGCCACCTACTGGACAGCAGGTGGGCAGTGCAGTCAGGCAAGTGAGTGATCGGACAGCCTGGCCTGTTCCTCTGTGAGCTGTCTCTGCTGCGGTTTGGCTGAGCTGTAAGTGGAGGAAGGTTTGCCTGAACAGGTGAGCAAACGAGCTGCCAAAGCTGGTGAGAAAGAGGTAAAATGGAGGTGGACGGAGCTGGTCAGGTGGGCAGGATCGGATCAGTTGGTGTGGACTTTTCAACCTGTCCTGTGCTTCTCCTGTCGTTGCCTCCACTGGCATAGGGATGGGGAATGAAGGGGAGAAAATATTTCTCCTCTTTATCCACCATCCAATCTCCCACTGCTACTGGAGAAAATAGCCTACATTTTCTGGCTTCCCACAGCAGTGGCAGTGCAGTGGGGCTTAAGGAGGGCAACAAACGTGGGGTTTGGGTGATCTGCAAGGTGAAGGGTGATCCCTCTCCTCCTCCTCCAAGGTGCTATTTTGTGGGGTCTTCTGACCTTCCAGAGCTAGTGTGGGGCATGTGCAGGAGGGGAGGGGAGAATGCCCCACTGTGTCAGCAGGAGCACCGAGTAAGTTGAATTCAGCTCTTAGTATTTACTCCCAACTTCTTGAAAACTAGACCACTGAAGGGGAAAACTCCTCCTCTTGTATCTTACACCCTACCAAACATCACATATTAATCACATGGGCTTCGAAATTAATACAGTACTGAATTCCATGTTGTTCAGCAGATTAATTCGGGAGGGAAAATTCAAAGGCCTCATGCCATATATAAAGAGGAAAAGCACACCATTCTTCAGATCCCCCCGCCCCCGAATGCACAACATACGTAGCCAAAAAAGAGCCATTCCTTCCTACTAGATTTTTCAGCACGAAACATTTTGAGCGAATGTGCTGCCTCAACATTATTTACTAATCAAGAAACAAGTAGCAGAGATATCTTTCTGGTAAAAAAAATAACTATTTGGTGCTTTCTCAAGTTTTCCCTCCTTTACAACAGCAGAAATGGTCCCAGGAGGCAATAAAAATAAATTGCTTAGGGTGAGATATCACTGCAACTCATCCTCTATGCAGGAGATTTTGAAACACCATAGATTGATACTAGAACTGAGCTTCTAGTTCCATGTATTAACCATGATTAAAAACAGTCCAAGACAAGGATCTGCAGGTCTTGATTCAAAATTCATCTGTCTTTAAGTTTCTCACAGCAGCTGCTTCAAAAGTCTTGGTTATGACCTACAAAACCCTATATGGTTTGGGTCCTGGCTATCTGAAGGACCATATCTCCTTATATGAACCTGCCTGGGCTTTGAGTTCTTCTAGGGAGGCCTCTCAGTCCCACCACCTTCACAGGCATATTGGGTGAGAAAATGAGAGAGTGCTTTCTAGGTGGCTTCTCCCAGATAATGGAACTCCCACAGAAGGCTAGGCTGACCTCCTCTCTTACTTTCCTTTCACTGACAGGCAAATACTTTTTTGTTCTGACAGCCTTTGGCCACTGACTGACTGTTGTGGCAGGGTCTCCTGAGGGTGGGTATTGCACTGTGTGCATGTGTGTTTTTTTAAATGGTTTTAAGCATTTCCAGTGCTGTTTTAATAGGGTCACCTGCATGGTGTGTTTTCAGGTGTATCTGTTTTAATGTAGGTGGCAAACCCACCTTGTGTGCTGCGCTGAGAGAAAGGCAGGATATAAAATCAGTAAGTTAAGAAGATGTGAGAAAGGGGGTTCAGGGTCGGGGGAAAGGGACACACAGTGGAGATGCTAAATCCTTTAGCAGCTATTGAAACCCTGTGTGTTTTGGAAAATTTCAAGTAGTCCTTACATACAATTAGGTGAGTGATCTTACCAGTTTCTGAGTCAGTCCAGGTGGAGCCCATTCGTATGTAATAGTGTTAAATGTTGGATCTTTCCGAGACACGATAGGATTAGTGATAATCATACGGTTCCTTTTATAGATGCGAACACCATCACCTCCTTTCACCCGGGCAGTTAGCGAAGAGTATTTCGAATCGGAGAGCAAGCGGCCAATTTTCCGATCATCTTCTGCATCGGAGCTCAGACTGTGATCTTCCTGGCTGCATTTACATGACTTGCATATTTTCCTGTGGGAGACAAAATGAGGTCACCCTTTGATATAAGCTGAACCCCAAACAGGCATGTGCTCTTTTGGAGGCTCAGGAATGAACTTTCAAAAACACTGAAGGTTAAATATTGAAATGGATCATGGCGTAGGACAAAAGACCTTTGTTGGCAAGAACTCAGTTTGTAAGCTGCAGACTAATGGAATTTGCCATGGTGTGGAATATAAAACTGTAAAAACCCACACTGCAGAGACCCTGGAGAATCAGCCTCAGGGCACAATGACCAAGTGTTACTTCTAAGCTGCTGTGAATGCAGCTAGTCAGTTACACAATTTTGGAAAGAATCACCTGAGAGATGAGGACATGAGTCTCACTGCTTTGTTTATTTAATGCATTTATATCCCTCCTTTCTTCCAAATTGGAAAAGAACACCCGAGTCTTCAATATCCATGTACAAACCCAGTGTTATCACGCAAGGTGCATTATTTTCTAATATTTTATATAAGAATACATTCACAATTTTTTCCACTGCCCTGATTCCAAAGCTAAACATATGATTTCAAGGGATTTGGATTCAAGCAGCAAAGTCGTTTTTGAGTGCATTGCCTTGGCAGCTAGGTTTAAAGGCATCTGATATATGTAAATAGCTTATTGCAGAGTTGCACAGGAAATATGGGCGTAAGATTCTTTGAAGTCAAGACTAAATAAAATAAAATAAAAATAAAAAGATTGTGGAAATTTCAGTTTATAAGATGGGGTGGGTGAAACAGAACATACGAGAGTCTTGGCTGCAAATTGATAAGATTAAGCTGTAAATTACTAATTCAGGGAAATATAATAGTATTGTTACCCTGCTCTTAAACATTTCTCCTCCTTTACTGGAAGACTACAATGGGAGAATGAGGGTGGTTCAGAGCTCTATGGCATGAATGAGTTTGTCATTAGTGTATCACTGCAACACATCCTAGGATGAGGTAAGATCAAAACATACAGACTTGAATGTTTAGTCAGTGTAGGTTATGTCAAACAAAGACCCCCCCTCAATACATCCTGTTGTGATATCTATAGGCCTCTTGAGTCTCTGTGCTATTTCCCCTTGCCCCAGTTTCTTAAGAATATAAAGCATGGAAATTGTTATATTTGGGAGCAGGGTTATATTTGGGAGTATTCACATGGCAACTGGCCCTATTGGATAGAACTCTTATCCAACAGGCCTTTGGGGCACAATAAGAACAACATCACAGACTTCCCTTGATCTATGTGACTGGGCCTTGTACCGTTGGTCCACTGTATGCAGCTTAGAATCTTTGAAAGCACGAAGTGGCTTAGAAATACTTTTTAATAAAAAATTAACTCACTTGCTTTTGTACATGCATTTCTATAATTAAAGGTCTGCTGTGCTTTGTACTATGCCTTAACTTTGCTTTAAAGGCTGTATATTTGTTCTTAGCTGCTCTGGGCTCTTGTGAGATGAAGTATTGGGACATAAGAAATAAAAACAGCAACATGTTTGCATTCACAGTACACGGCTGATTCTAAAACAGAGGCAAACCACCATCCCCACAATATAAAACAGTCATCTACAATACGTCTAAGCATACAAATACACATGCCAGGGACTTGAAGCTCTGTCGAGGGTATGCTCTGTGGCATAGTGCTGCATAATCTGCGCAACGAATCACATATTTTAAAATCATGTCACGGGTCTGCCACCAACAGACCTCCTCCATTTTAAGTTAGTTCCCGTCTCTGCGATAGCAGCATTTCTGATCCCTCACAGTGATGTGGTCACATAAATAGGTTTCTCTGCTCCTTATCATTGGCTGACACTGGAAGCGGCTGAGCAATATGCCATAGTCAGTGAGGTCGCACAGTGAGGTCACAAGGCTAGCAACACTACACATTGTGGAGAAAGGAGAACCTTGATACGGGAATGCAGTTTGGGGCACCAGCTCCACAAGATGCATTGTGTCTGCTTTCCTCTTTACAGTGAGGCAGTTCAGCTAGAATCTCTCAGTTGCCTTGACATAAAAATAAGACAGGAGCGCTTGTAGTACAATAACACACATATCCTCTTTCTACACTTCTGGCATTGTATTCAAAGTCTTTGTTTTATTTCCTTCTCTTCTCTAAAATATTCTTATTCTTAATACCCTGGTAAAGCAGTACCAATCTACTGCTGTAGGGTTGGGAGTCCAACCCCAGAGACCTATGGGGTCTAAGGGATTCTGAAAGCTCTGGGGGATTTGCCAATAGCCAGTGCTGGCAATTCTGAGGCCCGAGTCTTCCTATGGAATAGAGAAGCATGGTGGGCCGTTGACACAATTGCACCCAAGTGCTCCCTTTGGTTCCTTGAAGTTTAAGCAATCCCCTCATTTACTAGGGAGCTCTGGGCAATGGAAGCAGCTGGAATGCAAAGTGGTAGGAAGGGTGAGTGAACACACATAAACATATATTCAATCAGATACTCGAGATCTTAAAGTAAGGGTGAAAAGAGATTTAAGGGCAACGCAACAGAAAGGCTTTCAAATCTATATGTATGCAAAATACACACTAATTGAGGGAAATTATTGAACTGCAGGGAGTTGCATGAGATGGGGAGGTGTAAAATCAGCAAATGTCACCTCTTATGCTACTGGACACATTTGTTGTATCAAGAACTGCTCTCCAAGTGGAAAGGCTGTGTTGAATTTTCATCCATTATCTCCTCTTAGCAGGACTGCCCCACCCATGAGGAAAGGTGAGATGACGCCTCAGACAGAAGGATCAACAGGGGCAGCAGATCTTGACATCAGTCTTTATTCTGTACTTGTTCATGATGTAGTTCTTCACTCGCCCCTTATTCCCTGGTGGGGAAGGCATCATTTGGGGGGTTTTCCTGAGGCACCAAAAAGTATTGGTCCAGCCCTGCCACCTTGTTTTTATAAGCATCCATTTCTCCCTTTGGAATTATACAAACCAAGGTCATTCTAGCCTCTAGAGGAACATTTACAGTTAATGTCCACAATTATCCACTAATGAGTTAGATGCAACGTTCCAGGATGGAGTCCATTTGAAGAGATTCTTCAAAGGCTATGCTTTGTGTGGAACCACAATAAAAATATGAACCCAGCTCAGATTTCAAACAAAACAGACAGTGAACACACAAATAGATTTTCGGCAGTGATAAAAGAGTAATTTTCAGAAAATAATTTCAAGAGCCTTTCCAGAGCCAAACAAAAAATGACATTGCTGTGCCCAGTAGGAGGAAAGTGAATGGAATATACTTAATAGTTTGCTAAATAGCCCCCATCTTGATAGCAAATAAGGAGAACAGGGTTTATTAAACTGTGTTGAAATAATTAGATCTGGAAGCCAGTCTCTCGCAGATGTAGGGAAAGGTATTACAGTGCATAAATCCACATGAAGCATAAAAGGATGCTGGATGGTAAGTCAAGTATAATTACTTTGGCATCCTGCCCTCTTCCCCCTGTTGTGCACATAAAAACCAGTCATGTGGTTGCTCTTCTCCAATTGGCTGATGCCACAGAAGAATGTCTGTTTTCAACCGGCCTTGCCAAAGTTCAATTCAGAAGGAGTACTAGGATTACAGCGTGAGGGCAAATGCTTTCTTTTTAGGATCCCTGATCTCTTCTACTCCCCAAGGAGCATTAAGTCAGTGTGATTACATGTCATTTATGAAAAAAAGAAAGAAAGAATTTTAAATTATAAAAAGCATGCGGAGGCTTGGGTGAGGGGGAACCACTGCAGAGAACTGAGAAACTATTTCAATGTCTTTCTACAAATTCCAGTCTACAAAAGTCATTCTTTGTCCTAAATAGGTTCTTTAAAAAGGCAAAGAGTGTGAGGCAGACTGTTTAAAAGCATAGATATCCCTATCTGCAGGCACCTCTCCCTGGAAATCGTTGTCTCCAGTTCTGACCTTAGCAGAGCAGTACGTGAAAAGAATGAACAGGGCTGGTGGTGCTATTATTTGCCAAGGTAGGGATATGGAGGGTGAAAGGGTGATAAGCTTAGAGAAGCTCCAGATCTGTGGTGGCATGATGCAGGTGCCGCTGGAGCTTCCATGTCCACATTGCCACCTTACCTTGTCCCATTGTCATCCTGGCAAGTAGCAGTGGAAAGAAGTGCTGATGCTTCGCCACCACCCAACTTACTGAACCTCACTAAAATCAATCTGCTTGAGGAGTTGGGCTCTTCTCTCTCAACAATGTCTCTAGAAATGCACAGACCTAAATATTGAGATGTCATTTAATGCACAGCCTGTCATACTGGTGGCAATCATTTTGAAGCTTGGCTAACAGATTACAGGACCAGATATTACAGAATACAGCACTGCAAATATTATAGGATCTAGGCCAGGGATCTCTAACCTGACTGGAAGTGGTCTCAGGCTGGGTTCTTTGCAAGCTTATTGGTTAGAGAGTGATTTCATGTATTGGTTGTACAGTGGTGCCTCGCAAGACGAAATTAATCCGTTCCACGAGAGTCTTCGTCTAGCGGTTTTTTCGTCTTGCGAAGCAAGCCCATTGACGGATTAGCGCTATTAGCGCTATTAGCGGTTTAGCGGCTATTAAAGGCTTAAAGGCTTAGGGGATTAGCTGCTAAAAGGCTATTAAAGGCTATTAAAGGCTTAGCAGATTAGATAAAGGGGGGGGAAAGCGGGAAAAAAACCTCAAGACTCGCAAGGTATTTTCGTCTTGCGAAGCAAGCCCATAGGGGAATTCGTCCTGCGAAGCAACTTCAAAACGGAAAACCCTTTCGTCTAGCGGTTTTTCCGTCTTGCGAGGCATTCGTCTTGCGGGGCACCACTGTATAGATTGCTGGCTTTGTATATTGATCTGTGTATTTTAATAGATTGCCTTGGAAACGCTTGGGTCAAAGGGTGGAATGGATCACAGGAAATGCCAGGGACTGACCCCTGGGAACCTTGTGCATGTGTTCTCCCACTCTGCCCTAGTCACAATACTATGATTATTCCCAAGTAGCTAAAGCATTTGGGAAGAAAAGATGCAACCCAGACAGCAGCAGATTTATAGCATACTTGGCATGGGAACTTGGATCCAAACTGTCTTAAAATTTTATATTCCTTTGCTTTGCAGATCATAAGCCAGAGACTATATTCTTTCAGATTTTATATATTTGCAGACCATTGCATTAACAGCAGGTAACACCATCATGGTTCTTAAAAAGTGTTTCCTGGCTTCACAGTAGCCTTAATGTAAGGGAAGCAGAGCATGTGTTTTTGTGTGGGTAGGATGATATATTGGCACTATTGCTTGTAGCAAATGGAACCAATATCCCAACAGCTCTAATCCAGATCACTCCTTTTAAAAGCTTTTCTGAAACCACATCTCAAAAGTAGTACACATGGTAAAAAAAAAAAAAAGATTTTTGATGAAACGAAATTCATCTTTTTTCAATGATATATCACTTGTAGGTAATGCAAATATTTGGCACTGAATTTTCTATGATTTCTTGCACAGAGCAGAATTTGGAGGAAGCTATACTCAAGGAAGTCTGAGTAGATGCTAAAGGGAAAAAAGCCAGAGAAGACTAGCATCTTGAAAACCTCTCTGTATTATGATGCTCTATCGTACTAAAAGGTAAAGGTGAAAGACCCCTGGACGGTTAAGTACAGTCAAAGGTGACTATGGGGTTGCAGTGCTCATCTCGCTTTCAGGCCAAGGGAGCCGGCGTTGTCCACAGACAGCTTTCTGGGTCATGTGGCCAGCATGACTAAACTGCTGCTGGTGCAATGGAACACCGTGACACAAACCAGAGCGCATGGAAATGCCGTTTACCTTCCAGCCACAGCGGTATCTATTTATCTACTTGCACTGGCTGCAGTACAGAATAATCAGATTGCTCCCCACCCAGAAGAGTGGAATGTGGTTGACAGTACCTAAAACAGGACCAAAATAAATACCATATTTACTTAAGTCTAATGCGCCATCGAATCTAATGCGCACCTCAGTTTTCAGAACCTTGAAATAAGTAAAGGATTTCCTGGCGAATGTAAATGCGCCCTGGAATCTAACGTGCACCTTAATTTTTGCAACATAATTGGGCCAAAAAAGATGAGCATTAGATTTGAGTAAATATGGTAAATAAAAGTCCCTGCATATCTTTGATGTGAGGAGAAGGAATACTCTCCCAGCTCTTTGCCTTAGTGGTGAACTGGAAGTGTGAGTTCAAGCCATGAATATCTATGGCACAATAATAATATAAAAAAATGGGGAAGGAGGAGAGAAATCCAGCAATTTTTTTTGCATAAACAAGAGAGAAGTACAATGCACAGATGGAGGAATCATAAAGTGGGTCCAGATTTGAGCAATGTTTTCATTGCCAGCCTGCCGCAAAAAGATGTCCTAATTGTGGGAGAAAGCCTATCTGCGACTGAGTAAGATTAAAAAGCGGGCAGGAAGGGCTGCTGCATTTTTATGTGTGTCTTGGATCACTGGTCTGAAAATGTTTTCCCACCAAAACCAAAACAGACCAGATTCACTACATGCCTGATAGCTTATGCGAACGCTGGCCGGGCAGATATATCAAAAAGCCTTGACTATTTGCATTCAAACGGGTCACTTGAGTCTTTCCAAACTGTTCCCTCGAGAGTGGAGACTTCAAGGAATGTGGCATTTTTAAAAGATGACATCACCGCTGAAAGAATGGTGTCCTTTGACTGGAATGGAAGGGCCAAAAGAGTCAGGGACACAATTATATAGGCTGACCTTTTGATGGGGAACAAAAGCAGCAAGCTCAAGATTAACCAGTTGAGACTCTGAATCCTACACGTCTGAAAAACTGAAGGAACTTTGGTGTAACTCATTTTAACAGCTGAGCAATATTTGAACAGTCTACTCAGTTGAGTTTTAATTTGGTGCTAGCAATGGCTTACTAAAGGTCAATAAATATTTTCTTCCCGCAAAAGATGGCTTTCTAAGCAGGCTTGCTTCTAGAAGAAGAAGAAGAGTTTGGATTTCATATCCCGCCTTATCACTACCCTAAGGAGTCTCAAAGCGGCTAACAATCTCCTTTCCCTTCTTCCCCCACAACAAACACTCTGTGAGGTGAGTGAGGCTGAGAGACTTCAGAGAAGTGTGACTAGCTGAAGGTCACCCAGCAGCTGCATGTGGAGGAGCGACTGCTTTCTAACATCCTTAACTCCATCATCTATATAGGAAGAGAACAGTGCTGGACTACCTTTCAACGTTGTTGCAAGAATTACTGAGTGTATGCAAAACTCTCTTGAGTGCTTGTGAAATGAAAGCCAGGCTGCTTTTGAGTACTTGGGGGAAAAGTGCTTTGCATCTTTTTCTGTATCTATGGCAACCTCCATGTTAATTTAACTGTAAAATCACAATGAAAATCAGTAACAAAACCATTATTGATCTTATTGGGTGCAGGTCTTTCTATCCACTGCAAAGCACAAATGGCATTTAGTCTGTTCACAGCTGCACAAAATCAGAAGACAAGTCAGAACATGAACAACAACCAAAGCGGAAAAGCAGAATCAAGTATTAAAGGCACTACCTCCAAGAATGTGGCTCAAAGCCACTGCACATCCCTCTGCATCTTAAACATGGCACACCTCTTCCTGATGGTTGCTGGCTGATGGACACCTGAAAAACAAAGAAGATGCTGTTATTTTCATTGCTGATTCCAGGGTGGTATACAAGTGTAACAGTTCAAGCAGCATAAACTCAATGGATAAGAAAATGAGCATGAGGCCAGGCAATCCCCATTTCTTTGATGCATGATGGTTCCATGAAGAGCAAAGAATGGAGCCAACATTAAAAAGATCATATTCCTCCATACTTTCTGAGGCTACAGCAACCAAAATTCATGCCACAAAACCAGAGCAGATGGTGTTCTGGATATATCCTCAGACTGAACCACCATACATGCCTTTTCTTGACCTACACCCTTGTGCAAATTAATTGAAACAAACAATGTAGTTTATTGTACAAAACTCACATATACATGTACAAATCTCACATATACGTACATTAGTAACAGATATGACCTCCACTATTTTTAAGCAGCAGTTGAACACGGTTTGGCATGAAGTTTGCTAGTTTCGAACAGTCACTGTTGATTTTCGGATCCCTGTACCACACTTGAATCAGCGCCTGAATGAGCTTCTCCATACAGCATGGAGGTGACTTTTGCATATACAGTGGTACCTTGGGTTATATACTGTAATGGTTCTAGGGGTTGCTCGTGCGTAAGCCGGTGCTTATCTCCCTGGCTGGGTGCAAACACCTGGCTGGGTTGCCTAAGTGAACCTTTTCTGTCCGGACAGCCACTCTACCGTGGCTGACTCAATCGCTGGCAGAATCCGTCAGTGGGCGTTTCTTAAACTTCTTCCAGCAAAGAAGCTCTTTGACGCCTAGTCTCCTCCTACTCTCTCTGCGCGAAAGCCTTCTGCGCAAGGAGGGCGTGGGCAACGGAGGACCCCTACTCTCCCCGCTGGTCCCAGGCAAGGAGTCATGGGACCGCCTCGCTGCTTCCCCCATCTGCCCCCTTCTCCACTGGTGCTACGCTGATTCTCTTCCCCAGAAGATGGGCTGCTTCTCCCAATCCCTGGACGCTCTCTGGAATCCCTCTGGCTTTTGCTCTCTCCCTCCGGCACTGATGGCAGTTCCCTGACACATACGATTCAGGTTACATTTGCTTCAGGTTACAGACTCCGTTAACCCCGAAATAGTACCTCGGGTTAAGAACTTTGCTTCAGGATGAGAACAGAAATCATGCTCCGGCGGCGCGGCAGCAGCAGGAGGCCCCATTAGCTAAAGTCGTGCTTCAGGTTAAGAACGGACCTGCGGAACGAATTAAGTACTTAACCTGAGGTACCACTGTAGCCCACAAATTCTCATTGGGAATTCCCTGGCCAATCAAGTACAGGCGTATTTGCTGTTCTGTCATGAATTTCGATGTGTGACAGGGGATAAAACTTTGTTCCATTAGGGCCATATATTAACTAGATTGAAATATTTGTTAGAATTCCACTGACTACAAGGCAGATGTTTACATGTCACAAATGGAAAGCGATAGACTATACTCCAGCATAGCATTCCGTAGCTCAGCTCTGCATTTCCCTGGCATTTCCAGATAGGGGTGAGGGAAACTGCTGCCTAAAATCACAGAGAAGTGACGTCAGTCGATAATCCCATGTTAGGTGGGCCAATGGTCTGATTCAGTATAAGGCAGCTTCCTATGCTACTGTTCTATAGACTTTGTCAGATGGAATGTGCAGAAAAGGAAACACAGATATACAGAATGCAGAGGCTTAAAGTGAGTAGCTTGTGTTAAGGTTTAATTCTGCTCATGCCATATGTCTTCACATAGTTATGGGCGCAGAGGCCCAGATTTTCTTGGAAGTCATGCTTTGCAATTTGAACATCTCTTCCAAAATATGTGGGCAAGGGCTAGGAAAGGGAAGGTGCTCTTCATTTGCTATTATTAAAACAACACAGCTCGTTTCAAGAATTGAAAATAGATCCCAGAGACTAAGCCCTGTATCATATTAAGCTCTGTAACCACATGAACGTGTTAACCTTGGCAAACCAGTGATCACAGCTCCGTAGAATGAGAAGCAGCTAGGATGGGTCAACCAACAAGGAACAACTCAGTTATGATAATGGCAAAGAACAGGGATTATTCCAGAAGAGGAATGGCATTAAGAATGGTGATTGGTGCTCTCTAAACAATGGCCAGCACTTTTCCTAGATGTTCTCATACCCATGTTCTCATTTCTGGTTCTAAAATGTAAAGATTAATTGGATAGATCAAGACCGTAAGCCAGCCAAGTGTCCAAAGCGCATTTATACTTAGAAAGGAACTGAGCATCCATCTTTCACTGTGATAAGATACTTGCTTAAAGTATGTGATGATAAATGACACATTTAAAGCTATATTATCTTGGTAGGAGGTTAAGATAAAGAAACACAGTGCTGTCTTAGTTCTGGTTGTTGAAGAATTTGTTTTGCTGCAAGATAAACAAGGAAACATAAACTGAGCATTCATGAGATTGCAATACACTAGTGACTTGATATCCAAGCTCATTTTTATAGGCGCTCTGTACCCAGAAAGACCTAAGAGTTCTTTTGAGAATGTGGTCCTAGTTTCCACATCTTTGCTGCTATACTTTGTAGATCTTTGCTGCAATCTTGCTCTGCTGTTCATTCATGAGAGGGCAGGCCCATTGAGAAAAGGGCCTATAAAAATTAATTCAAACGTAATGTTGGTCTTTTAAAAAGGTGAAGAACAGAGAACACTTCTAAGTTTACATGGCACAAATACTCCGATAATTGTGCTCAAAAACGTAACAAATTCCTGCCTTTAATCTTCAGAAAATGATCCAGTGTGACTCTGTATTTAAAGAAGGAGAAAAATGTACTGGTGGCGCCAAAAATGAAGTTGTCCTAAAAGGAAATATTCTAGAGAAATGGATACCGTGGAATGCCGACTTCATAATCGGCCCTGTCATTGTCCCTCTCCCCCACCCCCAAGGAATTTTTCCAGGCTCCAAAATCCATTTCCTCAGACCTGGCAGAAATTCTTCTGCATGTCAAAGATTATACACGGAGGTGCCAGTCTGCCCTTGAAAGCAGTGCAGCCTTTTCTCTCTCCTCGCCCCCCCCCCCTTTAACAGGAAATATATTTGTGTGTGTCTATGGACGTATAGAGGGAGCAAGCTGGCAGAAGTACAGTGCATCTGTAGTACAGACATCGCACAGCCCTTCCGTATTCAAGCAGCTTATTCGCTCGTGTGATTTACCCTCACATGAAGGAGAGAGCAAGCCTGTATTCACTGCTCTCATTCCTGCTGACCCTCGCTATCAATACAAAATCTGAAAGTGTGGGGGAATGGGACAGGCGATGGGGAGGACCTTCTATATCAACTCCCCAAGCATTTTTGAACCCTGGTCCTGCAGGGTCCTACATACACATACACAACATGTCCCTTGCTTCAGATCTTTCCAGAACGTGGGTGGTGGGGCCGGGGGGGGGGCCTACCCTACTCTATCCCTCATACGATATCAATTACGCAAAGCTAATCCTCACCAGCGAATGCCAGGCCACCCATTGCAACAGTTTTGCTTTGATGCCACAGCAACAAGTTGCATTTAATGTTCCCTTTTCCTTTGCGAAAGCTCTAAATCTCATCTGCTCCTTTGCAATGCCACTCTCTTTGATGTAGCTCCCTGCTTATGGAAGGCTCTTACCTGGTGCCATCATTACATATCTTTAGGCGCCAAGCAAAAACATCCCTTTGGCTTTTAATTATCTATGGCCTTTTCATGTGGGTGGGGTGTTTTAATCGAGTTTTTAAAATTATATATTTTTAAATGCTGGTTTTAATGCATGTTTGTGCTTTATTTGGTTAAAATAATTGCAGATAGAACAAACAAACAAACAAACAAACAAAAGAATAGCACAATAAAAGCAGTACAAATATAAACCAAAACGTTTGTGTTATTAAAATCCTCAAGAGAACCGGAGGGTGGCAACATGAGAATGGGCCTTTTCTGCAATGGCTCCCTGTCTGTGGAATGCTCTCCCCAAGAAAGTTCACCTGGCGCCTTCATTATACACCTTTGGGCGCAAGGTAAAATGTTCCTTTTTTACCAGGCCTTGAGATGATTTGATTGACATCCTACGCCCTTTTAAAATACAGTGGTACCTTGGGTTACAAACACTTTGGGTTACAGACTCTGCTAACCCGAAAGTAGTACCTTGGGTTAAGAACTTTACCTCAGGATGAAAACAGAAATTGTGTGCCGGTGGCGCAGCGGCAGCAAGAGGCCCCATTAGCTAAAGTGGTACCTCAGGTTAAGAACGGTTTCAGGTTAAGAACAGACCTCCGGAACAAATTAAGTTTGTAACCAGGTACCACTGGTTTTGGGGGGCTTTTGGGGGTGGGGGTGGGGTTATTTGGTTGTTTTTATTTTGATTATATATTTTTTGGTTTTATATTTATATTTATTATATATATTTATATTTTGATTTTGTTCTGTGAACTGCCCTGAGAACAAACAAACAAACAAGTTAGTTATGAGATTTCAGCAGGTCATTATGGGATATGCACTGATTGGAAAAACAAGCAGTATGACTACCCCAAAACTTTTGCAGGAGCCAACAGTACTGAAAGCTGGATTGAGTGTGACCGCCCCAATAGCACCATGAGCACAAATCATCATGAATGCACACAAAAAAGATCTCTGGAGGAGCCTCAATCTTCCTATAAAATAATCACGGCATTTTATGGTTCTCTAGAGCTTAGGGTTGCCAACTAACCAAGAACAACTTTGTCCCTGTGCCTTTTCACTGATCAACCATTATCACTTATCTCCTTCGAATGCCTGCACAAAAAAAGGCATAGCTAGAGAGGCTGGCTAAAAAGCTGGCAACAATTGCAAGCCTTAGATTATAGAACATCACTCGTAATGCCCCTGCCAAAAATGATTCTCTGTACGACAAGACTTTCAGTGTACTTAGCGGTTTTTTTTTTAAAAGAGCCTTCTATCCAGAAATATGGGTCTCTTTAGTTCGTGTTCCAAAGTCTCATAATAGTTGCTGGCAAGCTTTGGGAAAATGAGGGAGTAACTGAAAAAGACAAATTAGGCACAGGGGAAAGCACATTGCGGGAGATAAATAAGGAAGAAGCCTGGATTGTTATCCTGGTTTGAGTTTCTCCAGCTCCACCCATGTGCAAATGTTTCTTGAAAGAATGATGCAGTGAAATATGAGGTGAAGTTTCATAGGCTGAAAATGAGAGATGACTGTAAAAAGGCATAATCCTGCTAGATAAATTTAGATGTCTGGGTGTCTGGTGGATAAAACAGAAGAAAAATAAGCTCTACTTATCCGGATGAGAGATAACATTTTTTTTAAGATCTTTTCTTAGAAATTCATATTTGAAATGGTGCTTGACAACATAGCGGTGACTGGCTTCACAAGAGGAGAAGAGGGCCAAGACAATTTGTTCCAAGGAAGACTGGTCTGGGGGTGGCAACCTTAGCTGGCAATCAACACCACAATCCTAAAGCAGGACACAGATGGGAGCGGAAAACCGCCTTCTCTCATGGTGTATGCATTCATTCCTTTTGTCCATTTTTGGCTCCGAGCCAAATGGGTTTTGCAGGTTTTTGAAATAGTAATAATAAAAAGGCGGTCTTCCTTCCTTCGTCTTTGACACTCTAGGCACAAGCTGATTCCATAGCACAAAGTAATTTTCACCAGCTGGTATGTTAGGACAGAGAAAGCTTGGCCTCATTTGCTCTGGGAACCCCCAAGTTAGACTACTGCAATGTATTATACATGGGAGTGCCTTTGAAGGCTGTTACTAAGGGTTACTAAGGGTTACTGAAGGATACAGAAGCTATTATGCCATGCTGATTGCATTGGACCTGAACTGCAGAGGGTTGGACTAGATGGCCCTTGGGGGCCCTTTCCAACTCTACAATTCAAAAGTGCTGGATTTAACCTTTTCAGGTCCTTCACAGCTAAGACTGTAGTACTTGAAAGACCACCTATACCTCCATACGTACAGTCTAGCGGCAGCTAAACTGGTGACTGGGAGCGGCCGCCGAGACCACATAACACCAGTCCTGAAAGACCTGCATTGGCTCCCAGTATGTTTCCTAGCACAGTTCAAAGTGTTGGTGCTGACCTTGAAAGCCCTAAACGGCTTCAACCCGGTATACCTGAAGGAGCATCTCCACACCCATCGTTCAGCCCGAGTACTGAGGTCCAGCGCCGAGGGCCTTCTGGCAGTTCCCTCACTGCAAGAAGTGAAGCTGCAGGGAACCAGGCAGAGGGCCTTCTCAGTAGTGGCGCCCGCCCTATGGAATGCCCTCCCATCAGATGTCAAGGAAATAAACAACTATCTGACTATTAGAAGACATCTGAAGGCAGCCCTGTTTAGGAAAAATTTTAATGTTTGATGCTTTGTCGTGTTTTTAATATTTTGTTGGGAGCTGCCCAGAGTAGCTGGGGAAACCCAGGCAGATGAGCGGGGTATAAACAAATCATCATCATCATGAAGAACTTCAATGGAGGACATCCTGCAAGTATTCCTACCATCTGAAGTGGGGCAGTCATCCCAGGGGCCTTCTCAATACTCAATACTCAGTTAGCATGGCTAATGGTCAGGGATGATGTGAGTTTCAATTTGAAACATCTGGAGGACACCAGGTTGGGTAAGACTAGTCTCATCGATGTAGGTTTTTCATTTAAGAGACAAATGGATGTCGCTCAGGAGGAGAGAATCGGCTTTGCATGGAGATTCCATGTTCCGTCTTGATATCTGCAGCTGGGGCTGGGAAAGACCCCTGCCTGAAACCCTAGAGAGAGTGTCACTGCCAGTCAGTATTGCCAATACTGAGTAGATGCACCTGCTTGGTAGAAGGTCACTTCCTAGTTACATGGGGGGAATGCGAAAAGAATCCACTGACTTGGTAAGTCTTGCTTGTCAAAACAGCCTTCGAGTGACTGCATCTAGCCTCAACATGCTTTTTGGCAACGCGGCAACGCTTTTTTCATCCGTACGTACAAGCATCTTGGTCTGCGATGCTGTGTTGTGGTGCAGCTGTTATTACTTTGAATCCATCGTGCTTAGTTGCTAGCACAGCAAATCCAGAATTGGCTGGCACTTTTAGAAGCGGTGTTAAGAACAATTGAGTTAACTTGGGGGGGGGGGGGAATGGCCAAGTGGATAGAGTTACAGGCAGATCAACCGAGTATTCTGAACTCTGGCACCTCCCGCTGCTGAACACATATACTAACCGGAGCCAAGAAGGACCCCTCCGAGAAAGTTATTCCACCCTTACGGGGAATCAGAATGAACTGAGACATTCTTCCCAATATTAAGCAATTGGCTTGAAATGGATTCGAGGCTAGTTACTAGTCAGGATCTTGTGGTGTGGGATGCATGCATCCAGCAGAGTATTCTGTTGATGAATGGCTCCAAGGCACTGCCAGATACAATCACTGACCCTGTCGACTGTAGAGATCCCAAAGGCATAAACCTCATGCAAATGGTGGCTAGCAAGCGCTACAGACTGTGCTCCTTAGCCAATTGTTCATTTCAGCGGTCATGATACAAATGGATGCACTGCCCTTCTCAAACATCCTAAAGACATACTAAGAGGGCCTGGGCATAAAATACCAAGAAGGGCATTGGGGAATAACTGAAAGTGAATTCTCCATTGCAGTGGTGGCCTGTGTGGTGAACTGGAATGGCAAAGCTGTCCTCTTGACCCCAGCGTCACTGCAGCATACCTGGATGGGGCTGGTCAGGGCGGCAATGAGATCAGGACTGCAGAGCCAACCTGGAAGCTTGCTGAAGCACTTGGAACAGCCCTGAGTGGGAAGAAGACAGATCTGGATCTACTGGTGTCTGGCAAGGATTCCCAGCCCCTAGCTGTTTAACCATGGCAGCAACAAAAAGACCTCTCCTTAATTATCTTGTGAATGAAGAAATGGAAATGAAGAAAGATTGGGAGGAAACAATAATGATTTGGGGGCCCATAATGTCTGGGCTTAGGTCTTTTGCTGACCAGCCTCTGGATGGCTGGCCTTCAAGTTATCACTAAAAGCCAAACCAAACCAAAAGCAGATCCCGCAAGCCAATCTGTCCACTCAAGTCCCGCCTTCGCCTACGAGGGAAGAGAAACACAGCTTTGGGGAAACGTTCAAGAAATGGACAATCACATATTGGCAGCAATTTAGAATCCAGGCAGATCTATACTACACCCTCTGTCTAATTCTAAGTTTATTCAAGGTGTCCCTTTGGCTATCAGCTGTACTTTGTTCATTATATCATGAGTTTATTATGTTAATGAGTTTTTATCCTCATGTACACCAGTTTCCAACTAACTGGTACTAGGTAGTAGACACATTTATAAAGAATTTTGAGTTGCTTTTTGAAGCAATTCTACGGCATTAGAAAATGAATCCCCTTAGTCACACAATGACATCCTTCACTTTAATCTTTCTCTTGTCCCTTTAGTATCATGCTCCTAGCTGCTGATGCCACTATTACACACACACACACACACACACACACACACACACACACAACCTTGCTTCTTTCAGGAAGTTATTTAGAAGTGCTCAGCTCATAGAAAGCTGAATGGGTCTCGCCCCTTAGTATTAAAATCTCAACCACATCACAGCAGTCCCATACTGACCAAAAATATTCTGTCTGGCAATCATTTGTGCAATGCAGCTGGAGCTTGGGGGTTTCCAAGTGGAGCTAAAGGCAGCCTACACATGAGTTGGTCAAGACGCCATCAGCTGCCAAACTTCCTAGGGAGTGATACTAGTCCCTTGAGAACAAGTGATGTCCAGAAGACATAGTCCTTATCGTCGTGCACTCCCCACTCATCCTTAACGGTTTGCAAAGCAAGTTGCTTCCATTGTTTATTACATATACCAATTTGTACTAGAGGTCTAGTGTTGCTTTGCTTCTCACCTAGGACGATGAAGAGCTCCAGAGAATTCAAAAGCTTTTGTGCTATTTTGCCACAGTTTGGTTGGCGGAATAAAATATATTGTCCCAATGTGGGTTGGGGCATTTCCAAGTTTCAGGTCTATATTGGGCTGGGGATTCTAAGAAACATATTATGTTTGTAAGATGTTTTGATAAGACACTGCCCTAAAAAAAAGAAGCATTAAGTCAGTGACTACAGTTACCAGCAAGCAAAACAAACAGACAAACATGAAAGAAAGTTTGACAATAAAGAAGCTGAGAATAAAGAGGCTTTAAAGGTACCCTGGCCCGTACGGGCCAGTCGTGACCGACTCTAGGGTTGCGCGCTCATCTCGCTCAAGAGGCCAGGAGCCAGCGCCGTCCGAAGACACTTCCGGGTCACGTGGCCAGCGTGACGAAGCTGCAACTGGCGAGCCAGCACCTGTGCCGCACACGGAAACACCGTTTGGGGGACGTGGGTGGCGCTGTGGGTAAAACCTCAGTGCCTAGGACTTGCTGATCGTAAGGTCGGCGGTTCGAATCCCCACGGCGGGGTGAGCTCCCGTCGTTCGGTCCCAGCTTCTGCCCACCTAGCAGTTCGAAAGCACCCCTAAGTGCAAGTAGATAAATAGGTACCGCTTTATAAGTGGGAAGGTAAAGAGGCTTTAGAAGCACAATAATGGCATAGAACAAATAGAACTCCTGGCTATAATCCACCTAAGCCATGTTATTTCCAATAATCTGGAAAGTCAGCTAAAGCACATGTTTTTAAAAGGTATACATATTTGCAAATATACAACACAGAGAATCTTTTGGCCGTTGAGATGAGTTAAGAAATATCACCCAGCCAGGACTCAGGAGCAGTAGCCCAAGAGAAAAGTGACTTCACATTTTTACAGAATTATATTTTGGGCAAGAGACTACTGCACAGGCAGTGCATGGACTGTATCACCAGCACCCAGTTATTGCTGTTCTTGGAGCTATTTTTCTAGAAAAAGAGGTGCCAGAACTCAACTTGTTTTCTTAGAATGGCAATGACACCTACCTGAGATGTGCCAGAACTGAGTTCCGGCGAGTTCCAGCTGAACCCCCCCCCCCGGGTTGTTCCACTTTAAGCTGCAAGTGGAATAGCAGCTCTGATGCCAGATTTCGGGAATCTAAATAACGTTCTGCAGCAGTCCACCTAGCCACAAGTGGGAGATAAAGGTAATTTTCATTGGGGCTGTGGTGTTTTGCGACCAGGGAGGGGGTTCAATACTTCCTCTCCCCACCTTGCTGTACTCCCAGTGATTGCCCCATTGTAATTTAAGGGGAAGAAAATAGATGTACAAAGACACAATTAATGTGATACAATGTTCATAGAAAGGAACGATGGACCGTAAAGAACAAAATGGCTGCCACAGTCTATATAGGCAATGGCTGGCCAGAAAAGCTGTGTGACAAATCATCTACTGATGGAGAAATTGTGCAGCTGTTCCACTGCATTCAGAAAAAGAAGAAATGATTGTAGAAACCTGGGCTCCCCTGGGAGGAAGGGTGGGACATAAATTTAATAAATACAATAAGCAGGATATTAAGAGGCTTATCTATCATTATATACCAGTTGTAATATCTTAACAAAAGTAGTTTCCAGGATTCTTTCAACATTCACCTTCAGAGTTGCTACATTATGTGGACAAAAGAGTCTTTTGCAGGCATCTAAAATAATGAACTCTCTCTCTTTACTACAGAATCACTCTGAGGCATCAAAGATAAACAAAGCCTTGCTTTTTGGCTCAGTTCCACACTGTTGGATAGGGTTGTTACAACTTGGGGAGATGGAGGAAGGAGGGAGAAAAAGGATCTTTCAAGCAGAGAGCTACCAAGTGTTTGTGCATAAATGTAAACAAGGCAGCATCCCTGTGGTAAAAGCCGCTGTGGATTGCATTTGGCAACCATTAGTAGCCTTAATGAATCAGTTTGTTTTCTCTATAGTGGATCAGTTACATTCATACAGAACACTGATGAGTTGGCAGGTCTAGGAGGCTTGCCAAGCCCAAATCTATTGGGCGGGGGGTGGGGCGGGACGCAGGCAAATGAAGTTGCTAGACTTGCCCTTAATCCAATACAAATCAGGACATTCCTGTCAGGGCTGTGTCCGCTGCCTTCTACAAGCAACAGGAGAGCCTTGTCTACAGAGGTTTTTATCCTTGTTTGAACTTCTGCACGTATTCATGAATGCAAAGAGTGTGCTGTACCGAAGTTTACTTTGAGTCTAAGGTGACAAGTATGGCAAAAACAGTCTGGGTAAAATAACCAAGGACTAGGTTCAAGGCTTCACCCACTCCTAGGAACAAAACCAAGGCAAATATTTGAGGTTCAAATTGTTTCAATGCATAATAATCCCATTCACTCCTGCATTTCCTCAGCTCAGCCAAGACTGGGGATAATGTGAGAAGAGCAGAAAACACTGCAAGGATTCATTTAAGCCACTACTAAAGGATTCGTCTTCAGCATGCAAGCCAACAGGCTCCTGCCCTGAGAACTTTTAGATCGTAAAGTCATAAACACTTCTCTCTCTCCATGCTTCTGGGGTTGTGTGACAGAAGCAGGACTGGTTCCATCATGTGTCAATATGTGGCATGACTCAAAACACCCTTTTGGAGCTCCCAGGACCTATGGGAAAGCTATCCATGCAGTCCAATCCTACCCATGCTTGCTCAGGTGCAGAGGCACCAAGTTGCCCCCAAGTTTGAGGGAGCCCAGAGTGTGTGTGTGTGTGGGGGGACATCACACACATGCAAATCACGTCATCTGAAGGAGGCTAAGTGCTCTGGAGCTGACATGTCTGCTCAGGTGTAGAGACGGGTAAGCTTGTCAATTTCGGTCTCTAATTTTTCCAGTCAGTTCTTCGCATCAGTTTGCAATGTTTTCTAAAAAGTCCTCATAAAAATTATTCAGCATTGTAGTGTGAATTTTTGGAAAGCTCCCCATACATATACACTGCATTCCTGTATGTCATCTTCACCAATGCCTGCATTTTCAGCCACACTTTCACCTCGTACAGTACAGTGGTACCTCGGGTTACATATGCTTCAGGTTACGTACGCTTCATGTTACAGACTCTGCTAACCCAGAAATAGTACCTCGGGTTAAGAACTTTGCTTCAGGATGAGAACAGAAATCGTGCGGTGGTGGTGCGAGGCCCCATTAGCTAAAGTGGTGCCTCAGGTTAAGAACAGACCTCCGGAACGAATTAAGTACATAACCAGAGGTCCCACTGTATATGCATTGCACACAGTACTTGGCCACAGAACTGCATTGCAAAATTTGAAGAAGTGCAAATTTCAAAGGACGCCTGTGTCTCAGTTCACATATTTCGGAAAGTGCGAATCAGAGAGATTCACCTTTAAATGTGAACCAAATCAAATTTATTGCCCATTCCTACTCAGAAGTAAGCTTAGAAATATCAGCTGCCTGTGAAAAACATCCTAATGGCACAGTAGCTTTATTTCCACATGTCAGCATTGTTTACAATAGAGTTCAACATTTTGCAGCATGTGACAGGAGTGGAGAACATCGGATAGGATCCAACAGGTAAGTAAATTCTGTTGCACGTTCATGTTCTACTAACAGCGTTCTAGCAAATACACAGATACGGATTTCAGAACTGGTCACAAAATTCTGTCAAAAGTTTTGAGGTTAAACTTCAGGACATTAATATTCCAAATTTTGAAAATGAAAATTTACTGGGTTGTTTTTTTAAAAAAATAATAATTGTGAAATAGCATTCAAGCACCACAACATTTGTTGCAAGCAGTGTAAAGCATATCATATGCAGGCCAAAATTTAGCATGCTATTACTATGTCCAGACACAACCAGGGTCTTGGTGGGCCTTTGCAAATGTCCAGGGTGTTTTGACCTTTGTGGACAGGCCAGCGAATTGCAATGGATTAGAAACTCAGGGTTACTGTTATTACTATTATGGAATGCATTGGATGCTGTGCAGTTTTATTCTAAGTTACAGCGCATTTACATTCTCTCTCTTTGCTGTAGCTAGCCTTCAGCTAGCCTTCTTGGAAAAAAACGAGTTGCTAAATGATCTGCAGCGGGCAGAATTCAAAGCCTGAAGGAATTAGAGCTTGCTTCGTATATTCCACTAGGCAAACCCCAGAAGAGCCCAACAGTTATGAGTATACAAAATAAACACAGAATGGGCTTCCAGGTTCTCTCCTCATTGCTTCAAAGAGAATATAAATATTCCCACGGTTTCTTGTATATAATATTTCTTTAAAGAGGGAAACCAGGGTGTATCAGTTCTGCATTGTTTATCAGGGCTCTCCTTGTTATGACTAGTGAGCAATTGTCAGGTCATTCAGCATTTCCGCACCCAACCATGTGTCCGTACTAGTAACTGATGCTCCTCTTCTTCTAAAACCAGAGATAGGAGCTGCTGGTGAACTATGTAGGGATCAACACCCTCAGACACATGACATCTAGTCTCTTTCCCCCCTCCAAACAAGTCATAAGGTTTGCAGTCACATAAGGTTAACAGGCATCAGCTAGAATTAGTGGCCAATCCAGATTAACACTATACAGTGGTACCTCGGGTTAAGTACTTAATTCGTTCTGGAGGTCTGTTCTTAACCTGAAACTGTTCTGAACCTGAAGCACCACTTTAGCTAATGGGGTCTCCCACTGCCGCCGCGCCGCCGCCACACGATTTCTGTTCTTATCCTGAAGCAAAGTTCTTAAGCTGAAGCACTCTTTCTGGGTTAGCGGAGTCTGTAACCTGAAGCGTATGTAACCCGAGGTACCACTGTACCACTCTTAATGTTGCACTGCTCCAATATGGAGCCAGGGGCAGTATTCCACTACAGGATTAGTGCTAGCACAATGCAACTTTCACTGCCCTGTCCCCCACAAAAAACAACACCCCCAAATCTGGTCTAAAGGATTGGGGAAACCCCTGGAAGAGATTTAGGAGGTGCATGGGAAGAATGAGAGAGGGAGAACATTCTGTTGCCCAAGAAAATCCCTGCACCGACATAAAGTTCTCTCACTTCCAACCAACATACTATCCTGTTCATGCACCGTTTCTTATTCTTCTCTACGCAGTAGAGATTTCGATTCCAATTTCCCATGAATTAAAAAAAAGGAAAAAAATGGAAATATCATTGGAGAGTGGGGGGAAACTGGAAAAGGCATGCAAAGGCAGCAAGTTCACAAAACGGTAAGACATTCTTGCTGATTTCTTGTTCAGCCAGAAATAATTGACTGCTCATTTATCAGTATCCCCCAGCAAGCACTCTAAGAGAAACTCAAGAATTAGAGATAGCAGATTTGATTGTGAATTTTTAGAAATTACCAAACCTAGAGCAAAGTTCAGTGCCATCAGAATTATTTGGAAGCACCCCATTTGACAGTGGTACTAGAAGGTAAAGACAGTTTTGCCAAAGAAACACTTATTTTGGCTATAGGCACACCCACACCAATGTCCAAGAAAACTAATCCAAGTGTTCTGCCAGATTTCAGCATCCCTTCAGTGTGACCAAGATATAGCAGTGCAAAAGTCTCTGCAAATATCATGCCCTTCCAAGCACAAATACTTGGCAGGATTCTTTTCACAGGCAACAATGTGTGAATTCATGATAAGCAGGGGGGGAAGGGCAGGCTTTTAAAAATAGAGTAGAAAGATCTCCCACCCAACCCTGTATTAATTGGATTTAAAACTGGCATTTCAAAAAAGAAAAAGAAATGGACCTGGACTCCAAAATGAGAACAAGAGAGGGATAGGTGGCAATTTGCTTGCGGAGAAATTCAAGGATATTCTAAATACAGAAACACACAGAGCCAATGGGTACCTGGAGTCTCTAAACTTAATTTCAGAAGAGGAAAGAGGACACTCAAGGATACTGTTGGACTAGGGAAACCCCCTCTGTGATTTGCTTGCTGGGAACTTTAAGAACAAGGATTGTACCAAACTAAATTCTACTCACAAGTAGACCCACTGAAATCGTTAACCATGTCCACCAATTGCAACAGGTCTACTTTGAGCAGGTGCAACCTCAGGTCATTTGCCTTTGAAGTGAGCTCGGCGCCTTCACTGAGGCAGGTTTCCAAATGCTCCATGAAGACTTGCTTTGCGAGATCAAGTTTGAGTTCTTGCCTTGAAAACCTTTCCAATGTCTAGAGCCCTCAACTGATTAGAACAAATATACCCAACTTTCCTCCACCCCGCCCTATGGACCACTGGAAAATTGCCGGTGGTCTTGATGGACCACTTAATGGTTTTTCTGCCTGTTGTAGCAATTGCACCATGCCAAATGCTGGATATTTTTAGCTGTAATTTTATTGCTTCTCCCCTCCAGACATACTATATTTTATTGTACTACAGTTTGAAATCCATAAAATTGTAATACCATATAACTTAACATTAATACGAATATTTAATCTCCCAACCTAACCACAAATCCACAGACACACCACCGAACTACCTGAAAGAAGCTCACAGGCTTCTTTAGAAGGCTAAAGGAAGAATTATGATCTACTGTTGTATTAGCTTCTGGGTGGCCAATTGGGTCAGGAGCAGATCAGGGGTAGGGAAGAGCAGTGCTGTGGCACAAAATCAGTACACTAAATCAAGAGGATGCCCCAGGCTGCCAGTTTTCAAGCCCCACTTAGAACTGGCACATAGCAGGTTTCCAACAACAGAATCCATGGCACAGAACCCAGTAGTTTAAATAGCAGTTGAGTGGCTTTCCTAGTGGTAAAGCCATGCTTGGTTCTTAAACTACAGTAATGGAAATCTGCGTTCCTCAGAAATCCTCTGTGTGTACATGCAAATATTTCAGTCAGAATCAGGATGCATAAATAGCATTACAGACATACCTTGGAAATCAAACAGAATCTGTTCTGGAAGTCCATTTGACTTCCAAAACGTTTGACTTCCAAGGCAAAGCTTCCGATTGGCTGCAGGAGCATCCTGCAGCCAATCAGAAGCAGCAGAAGCCATGCCGGACATTTGGTTTCCAAAAATCATTCGAAAACTGGAACAATCACTTTTGGTTTCCGATCGTTTGGGAGCTAAAACATTTGAGCTTACAGGAGTTCAGCTTCTGGGATTCCGCTGTATATCCTGCAGGTTGTTAAGAGTAAAGTAAATCTATTTTAAGGGTTCTGTATAGGAAGCCCTCAGAAAGACACATCTATGAATGCTAGCACCAAGGAGCACATCTGGCTCTAAGCCAAATAGTGCCCCAGGCAAGTCACACCATTGACACCCCATTTGTTCAATTTTTTTTTATTTTTCATTGCATTTAGAACCCACTTGTACACGACTGTCCCCCATCATCCAATTTTCCTCAGTGGATCAGATCACATCCATTCACAATCTCTTCAAATGCACACTGCTGAAAAATGGAGTCTAGAGTCTTAACTTTTCCCATGCATCAAAACAAAATGCGAAGAAGGAACTGTTTGTACTATTTGTTTCGGCTGCTGAGTAGAAATCTTGCGGCAGGCAGGCCCAAGCTGCCCCCCCCCGCCCCCGCTTCCAGGTATTAACCTACGGATTAATCTAGCCCTGCCTAATTGAAGGTGCAGCCCAGAAACAGGCTTACCATCCTAATGTGAAATATGCGTAAGGTTTTTAGGAAGATCTTTCAGCTGGTTTCTTCAAAGGTTTCAACATTTAAATTCAGCAACAGGTTTACTTGAAGTGTAAGATGGAGAATGGGGTGAGGAATGCTGTTATCGTATTCCATCGCCACAACTGCTGGTTGTCTCCACACCTCCCTTTCAGGCCAGGTTGGCAGCTAGAAAACCAGACAGGACTTCTCCCCGGGGCCAAATTTGGCCCAGGAATCTCCATTGGCTGAACTGTGCTGCAGAAGGCAACTGTGGAACCAATAGCTTTCTATATCACAGAGCAACTCTAGCCAAAGCTACTCAGAGATTAAGCCCACTTGAATTCAATGACTCTGACTCCCAAGTAAGTGTGGTTAGGATTGTAGCAGTAGCATTAGCAGAGGTTTTCATATTATGGAGAGGTTTTCAGATCATGGTAAGGGATAAACTCATGCTATATGGATTAGGAGCCAAGCACACAATTCTATGTTTTTTTAAAAAGTCTATGATGTCACTGCAAGCACATTCCATGTTACAATGGTACCTCTGGTTATGTACTTAATTCGTTCCAGAGGCCCGTTCTTAACCTGAAACTGTTCTTAACCTGAAGCACCACTTTAGTTAATGGGGCCTCCTGCTGCCGCCGCGCCGCCGGAGCACAATTTCTGTTCTCATCCTGAAGCAAAGTTCTTAACCCAAGGTACTATTTCTGGGTTAGCAGAGTCTGTAATCTGAAGCGTATGTAACCTGAAGCGTATGTAACCCGAGGTACCACTGTATAGGGGAGTGGCTCTATAGTTAAGAGGAATAGCAAAGAGAAGCCTCATTATTCTAAGCTTCAAAAATTGATGGCTTATAAAAGTGGAACCTCCTGAGTTTAAAACCTTGAAACTTGGCATACATGCTACACCTAATGAGCCAACCATCAAACTAATCTGATACATAATACCACAGGTAGAGCATTAAAAGCACTGAAATTGACACTTCTGACCCTTTTTTCCTCTGCAGCTTGTATGCTCCCTTTTTTTTCTTTTGCAGAAACTACCAGTGCATTTTATTTAGGCTTGTCAAGGAGCATGTTTGCACTGGATTGGTGAAATTCTATGCAGCCTTTCACACATTACGTTTTCCGTGCCCCATTCAAGTCTATGGAATGGCAGGTACTGGCAGACAGTGCTAGGGCTGTTCATCATGGGCCCACCTGTGGCACTGATCTATGCGCCCCTCCTAGGGGCCACCTACCCACCCCAATTTGGGAGAAGAGCTAAGGGCTTTTTAAACACTATTTTAACATACAGCTCAATAAGGCTTACAAATATGGACAGGAGGAGATCTTGTGCAGTGCTGCTCCTTCACAAATGGCTTCACTGGTCTCAAGGCCTTTGCTTGTGCATCCACTATCCATTCTACTGTAGCCAATAGAACAGGTTGCAGTGTGTATGTGTGATGCCCATTGCAGCTTCTCCTCAGGTGTACAAATGTTTGCTGGCAACCCCTGGCCTACACAGAACTAGAGCAGTACTAAAGGAAGAAAAACAGTCAGCTCTCCCCTTTTTGAGAATGACACTGGGAACACATTTCGTTCGTGCTAGGTTTCTGTTGAAGGAGTTGTTGTTTCAATTCAGCGGGAGTGGGTTGTATTAGATTACATCTCCATCTTGGCGCCAACTGTTTCCAATAACGTTCAAAAGGTGGAAGCCATCAAGCTCCATTCCAGTTTTGACTTAAGATTCTTCATTTCAGATTTCTCAAGCTAAGCTCTTCCAGCTTCGAAATGGCTGCCCTACCCACTGCCTCTCTTTTTACTAACAGGATGCCGCTTAAGGCATCAACAATAATTAAGCCCCAAAGTGAGTGAACAATCAACATTGCAGGACCCTGAAATGAGCCATAATGGATGCCAGATTCTGTAGTCACAGACTTGCACACACTGGCATTGCTAAGCCAAGCTCCAAACTGACAGCAGTTTGCCTAGTGCCCAGAAAATGAGGAGACTTTCCCCCAATTGGGGAGAGGGAGAGAGAGAGAGAGAGAGAGAGAGAGAGAGAGAGAGAGGAGTCATGCCGCCATAATGATGCCAGGCCTAGGCACGCCTTGGGCATCATCGTGTTATTCAAGGTCTTTTCTTCATTTTGACTAGGCAACAACATTTCTGTTCTGAAGTGTGGTCTAGCTGCACGACTGTTTTCTTTCTGGTCAGCCAGTGTTGTACTTGGTTCCAGTTCAGGTGTCAGGCAGCTTGGAATGTTACTCCACAGCAGTACAGGCCTCACACACCATCTATGGTGCTGATATTTCTTGCTCAAGCTGGCACCATTTCAAAAGGAAGGGAGGGGAGTGCAGATTTTGTACCTGAAGAAAGCTAATACTCAGAAGCTCTAGCCAGACCGCTCATGTTGATGGCTGGGCACCTGATGAGGGTCGAGGAGATCAAAGGGGCCCATTGCTGATCCATCTGAACCACTCTTCAGTGTTTCTGCCCACACCCCGAGCTACGACACAGAACAGTGGCTGTTGCTAGTCACTCACAACTCCTTCCACCCCCCTGGTGGGTGAGCGATGGAAGCAACACTTTTATATGGGGGTTGTCAGTAGGATCCATGGCAACCCTTCCGCCATGTTGGGTTACCCCAAATGCAATACTTGACCCAGTGTCAACATCAGGGGAAGTATTTCATTCTGGCAAAACTTGGGCTAGTGCTGAGGACGGGGCTTAAGCAGGAGTCCTGGTTCGGACAAAATGCTAAGCTAATCCTTGGTGTATAGCTTAGTGCAGTGCAGCCATAAAAAGGACCAAGGAAGAGCAAAATGGTTTCCAACTCCTCTCCCGCAGCCTGTATGTCCATACCAACATTTGGGCAGGGCAGTCTTACTCATAGGCGCTAGGGGTGCGGGCACCTGGGCGCTGGGTTCTCAGGGGCACCAGGCCGAGAGTCGAATCCGGCGAAGAGCCCACCCACTGGTCAGAGTGCAGCAGCGGGCTCTTCTGCTGTGGGCGGCTCTGCACCGTGAGTTCAGGGCTGACTGAGCCAGCAAGACGCTGAGGCAGCCAGCCGGCTCTGCCCTTCTGCACGCCTGGGACTGGGCAACCTGGAGGGGGGGGCGCCGGGTGGATCTTTGCACCCCAGCGCCACATATGCTTAAGACAGCCCTGCATTTGGGTTACTGTGTTGCATGAATCAAATATCCTATTTGCACTGTATTGGGTTTTCCATCACTGAAAAGCCTTTTTACTACTTCATTTTTATTTTTATTTTGATATTTATTAAAGTTTCACAAAAATACATGAAAATACAAAACAAAGAGAAAAGTATAAAGTTTTAAGATACAGCAAAAAAGTAGAAAATAAGAAAAAACGTACAAAATAAAACAGTTAAAAACACAATAATGTTCATAACCTATCTTCCCTCACTCTTGTTTCCCGGACCTCCTCATGCCTCCTTCTTTGTATTCCAATTCAATTTGTTGGTTCAGCAATCTTACATTAATCTTTTACCCAATTGTTAACCTTTTTTTTCCATGTCTCTTAAGCATTACAATAAAACCTCTTAGTTTCTATCCAACATCTTCTAAGTTCTTAATTTCACAATGTTCTAAATGGTCTTAAGTGCTGATCTTCTGCCGTCTCTTCTCCCTGGTCTCAGTTCTGTGATCATTTCATAATTCCATGTAGTCCTACCTTCATCTGCCATTCTTCCAAAGTGGGTGATCTTGTGTCAATACTGCGATAAGTATTCTTGCTGCTGTTGTATACATGAAAAAGTTCTGTCCTTCTTTGGCACCAGTTGGCCGACAATGCCCAAGAGAAGGCCTCTGGTTTCTTCAGAAGGTATATTTAAATACCTTTGGTTCATTATATATATTCCCAGAAAGCCTTAATCTTTGGGACCGTCCACCAAAGGTGAAGAATGTACCTTCAGTTTTCTTTACATTTCCAACATTTATTATCGGGCAAATGATAAATTTTTGCAGCTTATTTTTGGGGTCATGCCTACATATATATCATTTTCATAATATTCTCTCTGGCGTACACGTAAACTTCATACCTGTGGTCCTGCTTTATTCACAGTCAGCGAACATAATATATGTCCAACATCTTGGCTGTTTAATCATAGCAGATTTCACCGTTTCATCCTGAGTATTCCATTTCAACAGCAAGTTATACATTCTTGACTTTTTACTACTTCAAGCTAGCATGAAGCATTTTTGTCCTAGCATTTTTACGTTCAGGTGTACACTGTGATTAGAGGTCCTAATGCATGCCTAAGAAAGTCATTGGGTGTAGAAAGGACTCTAGATGCCTCTTCGAAGCCTAAATCCCTTTCGTCCTTTTACCAAAGGCACACAAGCTCCATCTTTTAACTGGACACCATTCTCAAGTTCACCAGCAGCTACGTGTTGTGAGAAGATGCCCCACGATGTTTTGGTTAACTGACAAGGAGCTATGTGCTAGCCATTTAAATGCTTTACCACATGGAAGTTGTAATAAAAGTAGCCTTCTGTTGCATCCAGCAACACTGATGAAGCCAGCTTTAGCATTTTAGCACCTCACTTATCCTTTACCCAACAGCATCACTAGAAGCTAGAGTCACCACCAATGACAGCATTCCCATATTATTGATGCAAGGAACATTTAAGATGCCACCACATAATTTCTAGTCACCCACAGGTACAGCTTAGGGGAAATTAAATATGAAAGCTGTATTATGTTCTTAGACAAGATGGACAGCAAGAGAAGATGTGAAGGAGGGTTTCTGACACACTTTGCTATTGTAGCAGCATACAGCACTCTTTGTGCTAGACGCACCCATGAAATTATACTGGCATGGGGACTAGCCACATATTTGGTCCATTCTACATGGTTCCCTGAAAGCAGACCCTGGGTTGAATCCACACTTGTTTCTGTGAGAATGGAGGGGCTCCTTCAGTTGTGCAGGGAACTAGGATTCAGTGGAGGCTCACCACTGAAGGAAAGGAGCAAGGCAACAATTTCACAAGTGCCAGCTTCCATGCTTTCCTCCCATAAACTTCCAAAACTGTTTGGGTGTGTGTTCCCAAGGGAGACACAGGAGGCTGAGGACAATCAGCAAAAATTACTACCTGAACCCCTTTCCTCTAGTACTGACAGAGCACCACTGCGTACAAGTCAGGACCCAGCCTATTACCAGAGCAGTGTGGAATGGCAGTCCCACCACCACTGAAATGAAAGATCAAGTCCCAAGTTAAAGCTGACATGACGAAGACATGAATGTTGTCATGTTCTCAGGAGTGGAGCATAAAGGATTGAAAACCATAAGTAAAGGCAAGAGTGAGTAGTCAGTTATGATAAAGTGATGAATATTTATTTTTTGAAATACTTATAATCCAGACTTTTATAAAAGTTTATCAAGGTGCCATACAACATACAAGATTTTAATAAAATCAGTAGAAGCATCAATAAAAACCATCAATACATACTGGTTGGTTAGAATGGTGGAAACAAATCACATTGCAAAGGCTGAACCACAGGGGCAGGGTGAACCACCAGAAGTGTCCCCTCAGAGGATCTCATTGAGTGAGATGGAACATAAGGGATCCCAGATTTTTGGGCCCGGAATAAAGTGACAGAGGAAGCTAAGGACCAAACTCTGGGGCACACTAACATAAAGGGGGGAGTATAGAAAAGAACTACAGTGGTACCTCGGGTTACATACGCTTCAGGTTACATACGCTTCAGGTTACAGACTCCGCTAACCCAGAAATATTACCTCGGGTTAAGAACAGAAATCGTGCAGCAGCAGGAGGCCCCATTAGCTAAAGTGGTGCTTCAGGTTAAGAACAGTTTCAGGTTAAGAACGGACCTCCGGAATGAATTAAGTACTTAACCCGAGGTACCACTGTAATGAATACAGTATGCATAGATTCAGTCATAGATACACAGAGAGTTTAAGGGAGAGAGATAATCAGCTGTGCCAAAGTTACTGAAGAGAAGCAGAATAGAAGTTGCTTGACAGAGCAGCTGGAAGTCAGAGGTGGTTTCCCCCAGAAAGCTCAGAAAAAGCAAACTTAAAAATAAAATCAGTTGAAAAACTTCATATTCAAGGAATCTGAGAACAGAGGGCAGGAGAGATATTAAATTATCATAAGAGAGACAAGAAGGGTTAAGCAATAAGCTAGAAATGGACCTTTTGTTTTGAACAAGTCCGTTCCTGGATTTGTTGGTATGCACACAACAACCATCCCATGCCGATTGTGGAAAAGGTTTTGCAACATAAGCATGTTGAGGCTGAATGGTACAGTGCTGGCTTTTAAAGTCCCTGCACCTAGTTTATTGGGATGACTATTTCCATGCTCCACAGTGCTGTGGTCCAGGTTATTTTAACCCTTTGCAAATACTGTAACACTGCCACTACTCAATTTTCTGACTATTAAACAGTTTTGTATGTAAGCAAGCTTGCACACCTATTATATTACACACTAGACAAAGTGCCTTACAACCTAATCACCGTCTGTTAGGAAATAGATCAAATCCAGTACCTTGAGTCTCATTTTCTGCACCAACGACATCTAACTGCCCCCCCTCCTGAATATCAAGATATATAAAGCTCCCAGTCCCAAAGTTATGGCTTCAAAATGCATAAAGCCAATCTGAACAAGGAAGGGATGGGGGAAGGAAATCAATATTCTTATAGTTAAGAACAAAGGGCATGCAGTCCTGTTATATGCTATACCAAGTGAAAGGCCTTCTTTCAGGGCACAGGTTCCCATAAATTCTTCTAAACTGCATCCAGGAATTGAAGACATTCTTATTTGCGACCCACCCTTTGATCATTCCACTGAACCAGCACCTACTTCAACAAAACCTTCCAATTCCACACAGGTCCAGACACTCAGTGCAAACAAGCCCAGTGATCGACCCACAAATTATTCAATACTTCTTTAGCATTTCCCAATACACAACATGCTGCAGATCTTCTCACGAGCCTGACCTTAACCGCTCTTACTCGGAAATAAATTCCATTGATTTCAGTAGGATTTACTTCTCAAACAGTATGCTTAGGAATGACATCCTGGTCATTTAACCAGGGAATAACCCCCAGCAAGAATTATGCCTACAAGCGGAAGGTATGATTGGATATTGACCCACAGTTCACAGGTCCATTTGCAGGGAATTCAATTACACCCATGAAATCCCGCCCCCAGTGGCATAGTCTTAAACTTTATTACATAAAGAAAACTGCACAAGGAGTAGCAATAGCTTCATGGCTACTTTTCCATATGCTTTGTGAAAGAAAGTGATCTGTATTCAAGCTGCTGGAGCAACTGAAACGCCTCTCCTTTTTGTTTTGTGTGACCTGTAACATCCAGCACATTATATGCACAAACTTACAGAGCCTGGGCATCGGGCCAGCAGACCAGGTTTGCAGCGGGAGAAGCAAAGGCTACGAACCTCATACTTAGCCTGTGGCTACTGCTTTTCAGCACATGAAGAAGTTTATAGACCAGCCGAATTTCTTTCATTTCCTACAGTTACTGAAGTTGACTGTGAAAGTGAAAAAGCACGCACACAGTTTCCAGCCACTAATTTCTTAGAATAAAATCCAGAACAGTAGTAGAACAGTCTGTGCAAAACTGGATTCCCCTTATCACATTAGTATTGAGCACACTTTTTAGACTCTTCAAGTCTGGAGTTTGTTCCCCATAAAACACCGACTGGAATCTATCAGCGATAAGATTACGGCAGCAGCAGCGCGTCCCTTCAACACGCTGAATGTTTCAGTCAAATAGTAATTCCCACTTTATGCGTTTTAATCCCAGGCTAGGTGTGTACAAAGGTCTATTTAAAGGGAAGCCCCAGTGATTTCAGTGAAGCTTCCTCGCAGGTAAAGTCTTTGTTTGCTGCGGTCTGCTGGAAAGCCACAGCTGTTGAGAGAGAAACTAAAACTAACCTCGAATATTCCTCAGCAATAACTACGGAAGCAAGAGGAAGTAAGGCGGAAGAAATATTGCCATTTACCTTTTGGATTCCTGAACTCAGATCCATTCTTCAGCTTGCCTTCCCTGCTTCGCGCTTCCTCCTATTTGAATCTGCCTGAGGCGTGCAAGTATTTATTGCTGTAATTCTTTAACTGGGACAACAGCTTTGGAGTGAGTAAAAATCGCTAACTGCTGTAGGTACCGAGGAGCCCCGGGAGCTATTAGCAAACCCCACGTTCCAATCCCCAGCGTTTATTCACAAGCTGCCTGCATGGAACCCCGTTAATTGGAGCTCACAACTCCTCTAAACACCCTGCCAGCCAATCAGATGAGGGCTTTAAACTTTTCCAGCCAATGCGAAGTGAGGCTTTAATCCTCAAGGTTCTTCGGCTCGCTTTTTAACCCCCAGAGGGAAAGGATGGAGCGAGCAGAGGCACGCCGTTTTCCAGCTGTGGAGGCAGCGCTCGCCCAGCTACTTCGAATAAGGAGACTGCAATGATCCCGCCCCGGGATCTCGCGTCTCCTGCTTTCCCTTTTAAAGGATGAAGGGGGAAACCTTGCGCTTAAGCAAGCCAGTTCATTCACAGAAAGAGGAAGTGAGTGTGTTGGGGGGGGGGGGAACCTGGGATATTATTAGCCCATTAAATCCAAAAATAATTTCTGATCTAAACTGTGGCCCTCATCGCCGTTGCGCTAATCAGACATTTTATTTAAGCCAAATGCATATTTTTAAGCCATGGCAACGTTTGTTTGTTACTGGTGTCTGCAGCTGGGGGAAAAACAGGGCAGTGCCTGCAAAAAGGGTGGTGTAACTCAAATGCCATTTCAAATACTTGCTTTTCCTCTGCCAGACTTAGGATGGCCCATGTAGTGATGTGGGGAAATTTAGCAAGTTGAAACTTTGGCTCATGTTAAAGAAGAGCATTGTGGAAGAGCCAAATGCTGTGGAATCCTGGGAAAGTGTATCTTTCTTTAATTGCAGACTTTCTGTCCTTAAGAGTGTTATTTTCTCCATCTGTAGGAAAGGGAGTTTCTAGTTGATTTGTGGTTCTTGACACCTGGCTGTCCCGTGGATTCAGTGTGAATGGGTTATCTTGTTAATTTACAACTCAAAGAATCTGTTTGTCTGTGGGTATGCTTTAATCTTCAAGGTCATGGGATAAACAGGATTCAGCTGCCAATTCTTCTAAAAAGTTTGAGTTATTGTTCTTCTATCTAACCATTGGCGAATTGCTAATTAATCTAAAGAACTGATTGGCTTTTGAGTTTTGAACCCACGTGGGTTCAAAGGGGATAAAACCTTAGGAAACCCACCTGCAATTTGCAGATCATCTTGCCAAGCAGCAGCCCGCCTCACCTAACCTACTTTGCTATGTGAGACCATTGTCATGCAGAGAGGGCCTGCCCTGATTGGATGCTTGCACGCACAAAACACTAAACTGAGAGATCCAATCCAAATTGTAAAGAACAAGGTTCTCTGCTTGTTCTGGAGACTCAAAACATACTTTCCCAAAAGTTTTAAAGGAGGGTTTTCAAACTTATTTTCCTATTTTCTAGCCTAGTTGTTAACTACGTCTCTGTGAAGTGGCCCTAAACCAAACCTGCCATTTCCCATTTTTAACACACTGTTATGTCTTACTCAAATTTCTTCCACATGTTCATGAGGAAGAAATAGGAAAACAACTTTTGTTTCTTTGTTCAATAATGGAAATGGAAATAGGTTCTTAAGCGAACAAGCGGTCTTGTTTCTTGGGCTGCAATTCTGAGCATATTCACAAACCAGTAAGGCTGCAATCCTAAATCCACTTCCCATGGAGTTAACCCCAGTTGAACACAGTTGGACACACTTCCAAGTATGCATGCGGAAATTTGTGTTATATGTCACACTGAAGCAAGTGGGATTTACCTTTGATACATGGTCTAAGATCTCTAGTTCATGAAAGCTAATGTCACAATAAAATGGGATCATCTTTTAAGATGCCACAAAACTTTTTATTGTTTATACTTGGGCTGCATACACATTACTGTTTCCTCTGACCCCAGCATGCTGACACCACTGGTGTCAGAAGGCACGTACACATGTATCCTGCAGCTTCATAAGTAATACACCTGCTTGATTCATTTCCCCACAAACCAGGTTCCAACTGATTAGAAAACAGAAGCCTCAGTTAAGCAGAAGAGTGTACATTGGAGGCATCCATTGTACGTAGGCAGATGACAACTTAAGTGAATTGGAGTTTGGCACAGAGGAACAAGTCAGTTAATGTGCATTGGCGTGTACAGCAAGACAAGAAAGTGACTTGAAATGTAGTGGCGAGAGGGAAACACAACCTTGCTGTGGTCAAGCAAGGTCTTTATGCCGCAGTCCTATACCCACTTACCTACTTTTATGATTTTGTGGTTTTAAGACCTATGCCACCTGAAAGCTAAGTGATACAGGGAAACAGAATTGTGAATTGTAAACAGAATTGCATGTGGGCTGTAAGGGTAACACCTTGTGACAGAGTAACCATCTAAGTCCATCTGCCATGAATTAACATTATTATTTTTATTATTTTTAAATTACATTGCATATCTCCCTTCATTCATAGATCCCAGAGTGCTTCACAGCCTATGTGTTGACAACTTCAAAGACTCAAACATGTTGCATCCAGAGCTTCTGTGGCAGGTGTGGAGAACTTTTGGGCCTCCGCATGTTGCTGAACTACAACTCCCATCAGCCCCAGCAAGCATGGCCTATGGAGTATGGGAGTTGTAGTTAGAGCAACATAAGGCGGGCCAAGGACGCGGGTGGCACTGTGGTCTAAACCACTGAGCCTCTTGGGCTCGCCAATCAGAAGGTGAGCGGTTCGAATCCCCGTGACGGGGTGAGCTCCCGTTGTTCGGTCCCTGCTCCTGCCAACCTAGCAGTTCAAAAGCACCCCAAAAATGACAAGTAGATAAATAGGTACCGCTCTGGCAGGAAGGTAAATGGTGTTTCCGTGCGCTGCTCTGGTTTCGCCAGAAGCAGCTTAGTCATGCTGGCCACATGACCCAGAAAAACTGTCTGAGGACAAACGCCGGCTTCCTCGGCCTGTAAAGCGAGATGAGCGCCGCAATCCAAGAGTCGTTCGTGACTGGACTTAACTGTCAAGGGTCCTTTGCCTTTACCGTTGCCTCTTCTATTGGAACAACATGATCTTCAGTTATGCTCATTTGTATTACTAATAGATTGAGTTTCAGATCCTTCTTAAATTCTTTTTATCTAATTTTGCATAAGCAAATAGCAGCCACACCTGTACTGAGCTTTGACGAGAACCAAATAGCATATAGAGAGGATTGTTGGAGTCATCTCACACATTGTATCTGCCGCTGAGTGTACACTCAACAGAAAACAACAACAACAACACGGTCAGACCTTGGTCTATGATGGTCCGCCTTCATGAAAGAAGTTTGCAATCATATTTGCTACATTCACACACATTATTAGGTGTTTGCGTAAAACATCTTGCATAATAAGATGCACACCATAAAAAAAATCTAATATGAAAAGCAGCCCATAGCATCCAGCTCCACATGAATCAATAAAATACTGAAGAAGGGATCTTTACAAATACATTTTGAGTTTTGGGTGTGCTTCAAGATAGTTCCTCAAGAGTTATCTGCAGTTGCTTTGTGTTTATCATGGAACACAAATTTAAGTGTCCCAAAGCTTACAAATAAATAAACAAGAATACAGTGGTACCTTGGGTTAAGTACTTAATTCATTCCAGAGGTCCGTTCTTAACCTGAAACTGTTCTTAACCTGAAGCACCACTTTAGCTAATGGGGCCTCCTGCTGCTGCTGCGCCGCCGGAGAACAATTTCTGTTCTCATCCTGAAGCAAAGTTCTTAACCCGAGGTACTATTTCTGGGTTAGCGGAGTCTGTAACCTGAAGCGTATGTAACCTGAAGCATATGTAACCCAAGGTACCACTGTACATGAAATGGTCTGGAATCAGCTGTAAGCAGGTTAGCTTAACAGGTAGAACTCTAGTCCCTTAGGGTATTTCTAGACTTTCCCAGTCCCTATTATTGGCTTGAGAAGATAAATCATTTGCTTCATTGAAATTTATCATTGTCTCTGGTCACATTTTAAAACCCCATCAAAAAGAATAAGAAAAAAAGGGTGCTCTGAATGTTAATGAAACATAGGGGACAGCAGTAGCCAGACATGACTATTCAACTTTGAAATGGCATTTGAGTACCAAACAAGCTGAGTAATGAAAGCATTTGGGTTAGAAACGGGGGAAATAAACAGAAAGTTCTGAAGGACATTGTCATGGAAGACGCTGAGATGCTCAGGCAGTGTGTTGTCTGGGCAGGGTTCCAAAAAATATTTTCTCCGACTGCCTCTGACTAATACATCTGTCTTATGCCTGTCTGCTTGTTATGAAGAAACTAAATCATTTTCTGACCAAATGTAGATTAAATCTCTGTAACGGTCATACTCTGGGAACTGACGTGACAGGCTGATGAAGGAGGAAATGGTCTTCATTATTGGAAAGTGCGCAGCATGGGAGATCACCTTCTTCCTGTGTATTTTGCAAGTCTGATGCATCCTGAAGCGGATTCCTGGGTGAGTAGTTCTTTAAGGCAGCCTACAGTGACAAAAGGAAAAGAATGGTTGCAGTTTGGTAAATCAGTAGTAACTTGGAATTAGTGTGATGTCTTAACTAAACAGAATTCCTTTCTTATTCTGACAAGACGTTTAGGAAAGAAAAGCCTAGACTTCATGTCTCCTTTTACATCCTTTTATAGTTGTTTAAACTAGACTGCTGAAGTAAAAAGATGTGATAGGGTACCTAGCCTCTCACTTTTATATATCCACGTTTTTGATCGTGGTGCAAAAAGTCATCGGTGCATCAATCTCATGTGTTACCTCACACATTACAGATTAAGAAGACATAGACACATAAAACTGATGTTTGTGTTAGAATGTACGGTAACTTGGAAGGAAGATAAAAAAGGAATTAAACCAGAGGCGGAGCAACCTGCTCCAGTACCCAGGGGGCGTGGTGTGAGTCCTAGGGGTGTGACGCACGTCCTGGGGGCATGGCATGGCGCCTGCGGGTGGCATGGTGCATGTCCTGGGGGGGTGCACAGCACGTGGCGCGAGCCCCGGGAGGTGCCGCCGATTGGGGGTCAGCATTTTGTCACCCCCCCCTTTGGAATAGCACACAGGGCGTGCCGCCCCCGCCTTGGAACGCCCCTGAATTAAACAATACCTACATAAATGTAGCATGTGTACCAGTGTTTAATGCTCAGAACCATAATTAAAAGTGCTGGTTTTGACCTTTGAATGGCTGGCCCTCAGTCAGGACAGAGGACTGATGCTGGTGATGAAGTATGCCACACAGTTTGCCCTTTGCCCCCTAGAAACAGAGGACAGTATCTTGCCAC